CACCGGAGGCGGGGCGCAAAAATTGGACCCGCGACGCCTAATCCCGCAATCTGGCGGCGGGGCGGAAGCGCCGGCAACAGGTGCGGGAGAGCCCGGGGCCGTGGCCGGGGGCATGGAGGGGCGGGGCGGGAGAGGAACGGAGAGCGGCGGAGACGTCTGCTGCGGACCAGAGGCGGAGGACGAGCGAGAGAGACACACAGAAGGGAGAAAATTAGTGCAGGGGGCGCGGGCGGACGGGAGAGGGGGCGGGGCGTGCTCATTTCCGGCGCGCCGGGGGCGGGCGCGGTGGCGGAGGCGACAATAGCAGCCGGGGCGGCCTCATCGGTATGCAGGGCCGACGGCGGGATTCCGCCGCCCCGCCGGAGCCCGTGTTCCCCGCCGCGTAGCGGATAAGGCCACGCGACAAGACGGGGCGCCGTGCGGAGACGACGACAACAAGAGGGCGGCGCTAGCGATGGGCAGCGGCCGGGCGACTGCCAGATACGTTCCCCTGACGGTGAGCACAGCGCAAGTGCTATGAAGACAAGACGAGACGAAGCCGCGAGGGAGGCAGAAAAGAGGCTGTGCGAAGGAGCATGTCCAAATGAAAACTGGAAGAAGGGGGGGGGGTCAATGTGGATCAGTGAGAGATGATGTGAAATAGTTACATGCGGTGGAAGAGGCCAGGACGAGGTCGCGGAAGAAATTAATAAAAGTGTAAGACGCCAATGTGTGAGAAAGAAGAAACGGAAGAGGTTTTGTTACAAGGCGGGCATGGAAGTAGCCTTAATGGATTATATACGAAATCCAAAAAAATGAATTAAAAAGAGCGTTTATGGGGCATTAATATCAAGAATAACGCCGCACAAGCCGCTCCTGCACATTTGACAAGTAGAAAGGTTCGACGCGGACAGCGCAAGACGTTAGGGACAACATTCATCGAGATTCATTGTCCTTACAGCACGTTAGGAGAGTATAAGCTGAGTGCTGGAGCAGGGAGGGGGGGCGGTCATTTTTATGTTCAATTCTCTACTTTTGGGACAATTTAGTTAGGCGAGTCCCCCCTCTGCGGCATCTATTCCGTTGTCACGATTAAATAATCTCCACTCAAAGCGCAAACGTGAAAGATTGGAAATAGTGTACAAAAAAAAAGGAGATAACAGACGATTAAGTGGGAAGACTTGGAAAAAGATATTCAGACGCCCAAACGGAGTATATGTAGTTGGATTAGTTTCGAGTATTGGCTTGCAGCAGCAAAAAAGCTGCTGAAGAAAACTACACAATACGGTTTTCCAAAAAGTAGCCAACGCAGAATGCTCAAGATCATCAAATAAAATGCTCGTGCAGACAGTCATAAATTAAATATTTAAAGAAAAAGTCATCACTAAAGCTGCAATAACATAGTATATTATTTTATAGTGCAACAGTTCTTTACATGCCATTAAGAATATCATACGAGTTGCATTTGCATAACGCAGCATGTGAATAGTAAATACTTAGAAAAGCGGTCTCTTGTTCGGTGCCTTGCTGTTGCATAACACCAGCGGTGTCGTAAGCAATGATACACTGAGTATGAAACTTCAGCAGGTTCGCGCAGTATAAATGCAGATAAATATTTGCACTTTCAGTGAAAACCGAATATTTCATTGTTTTTGGATTACTTCCGAGTTCCTGGGTATTAACAATACGATATCTCTCTCATTGCCACTTGCAGCTTAGTTTTCTCCCAATTCCGCGCTCGTACGAGATGAGTAACAGACGTTTACAAGCGACTCAAAAAGGGGACGGCGGTGATCTGGGTTGTCCGGGTGACGCCGCGTCGAAGGCTGTGTTGCCGACGTTTCGACCATCCTGTCGTGGTCTTCCTCAGGGGTGGTATGCGAGTCCTGAAGAAGACCACGACAGGATGGTCGAAACGTCGGCAACACAGCCTTCGACGCGGCGTCACCCGGACAGCCCCGATCACCCACATGACTCTGGCCGCGGAAGCCTACGACTTCAAAAAGGGGCCAGCCGCCTGCGCGCACGTGTGCGCTTCACTCACCTGGTTCTTGTGCGGGTTGTGGTAGAGCACGCACTCGGACATGAAGTAGGCGACCATGGCGTTGCCGCCGAGGGCGGTCACGTGCGAGCGCACGATGGCCAGCACCTCGCACGCGAAGCTGTGCACGAAGCCCGACAGGCCGCCGGCCTCGCGGATGGACGTGCTCTCGCGGATGAAGAAGAAGTTGAGGTTGCCCAGGTAGCGCTCGATGCGGCCGCCCGGCGCGTACGACAGCGGCGAGATGTCCACGCCGAAGCGCTCCCGCGCCGGCGCCGCCGCCGCCGCTGCTGCCGCCACGGACCCGGCCGCGCCCGCGGACGACGCGCCGGCGGAGGGGCCCTGCAACATGCGCAAGGAACGACGGTTCACAAGATACCTGAAAGTGGGATGCGACATCGATGGCGATGTTTGCAAAACATCGAGGTTTTGTAAAAACATCAATATGTTTTTTAACATCGATGTCTTGTGATCGATATTTATTATACATCGATGCCTTGTGATTAAGGTCTTTTTTACCATCCATGCCTTGTGATCGATGTTTTTTAACATTGATGCTTTCTGATCAATGTTTTTTAACATCGATGCTTTGTGATCAATGTTTTTTAACATTGACGCTTTGCGATCCATTTTCCCCCCTATGTTTTGTTTCTGAATGAAAAATGTCCATGATCACAATACATAGTTAAATCAAAACGCGAAATAACTTATGGAAACACTGTCATTCATGAGTTGGAACCGAAGGAACGCTGTTTGTACTACCTTCACCGACCAAACTCCGTGACCCTGAGATGACCTCCATGCCCTTGTATTTCGTTTTCATATTCATTTCGCACATTGAGATGTAGTCGACAAATACGATCTAAGCGTAGGGGCAGCCCCTTCTCCTCGTACCCTTATTCGGCGAACTGATAAACATGAATACTGCGAAAATTAAATTTTAATGCACACTATTTTAATGTTAGAGGTTACTACTCCACTGAAAACATTGATGTTCAAAAACATCGATGGTTTTTATTCCATGTATTTTTAACATAGATGTTTTAGTTTTGAACATCGATGTTTGCTAATTCCGCGGAGAACGATGCAGGCACTACTTGCGGGTAAGGACGACAAGCTTTTAACGGACCTGCGGTTTATTCCACAAGGTATCGATACAAAGGACGCATTCAATAATGTGGGTCTCAACAAGCTCATTCGCGAATAAACTTGATTCGAACATTAGCCTAACTACACAAGAAGATAAATTACAGGACCTTCACGATAATTTATTTGTCCTTTAGAAAACCTTGCCCTTCAACAGAGGCGCAGCCAGGATTTTTCTACGTGTGTGGTGTGTGGTGTGTGGTGCGTGTGCGTGCACCTGTATGTAGGGTATAGAGTTCTAGTTTGTCCTAGTAGATGACTCCTACGAAGATTTGTTTCATTTACGGTAAATATAAAATGTATATTTATTTGTTAACTTATAGTTAATATTTATAATGTCAATAACTGTTATAGTGAATGACTCGTTAAAACATAAATTAGTAAAATCTATATTTTTGAATAGGTATCATTGGTTTCAAGGCGAGGGGATCATGGGACATCAGGGTGATCTTCAGCTTATCGTGTCAGCTGCGGTGCTGGATATAGCTATTAACGTCGTAATACTGATGTGCAAATAACGGCTACGGTTGAAAGCTATAAACCGAGGCGATTGCCGAGATTTATGTTCTAGCAAGTCCGTTATTTCTGAGGGCGGCAGTGTGTCGTCCAATACTTTTTGCAATCCCACCTTATTGTAAAAAGTCATATAAACAAGAAATACGAGTACCATTTCTTGGAGTAGGACTAGTCATACGCCATCTTTAGCTATAACTCATTTACTTCGATTATTCTTAACGGACGTGGACCGTTAAGAAAGCCCTTTGAGATGAACCTGCACGATCGATCAGGCTTAGTTTTGCTCATTGATCTTATTATTTTTTATATTTTTTTTCAGGTAAATCTGAATTATAAATTAATGCATACAATCACTGTCAAATTAAAGTTTGCTGCGCACGAATTTAAAGTTATATAATACTTGACAAGCTTTAAAATAAAGATGTTTAAAAACACCGATGGTTTTTGGTCGATATATTATTAACAAAGTTGTTTTAATTTTGAACATCGATGTTTTGTTAACGATGTAGCATCACTATGCACTTCAAGGTCGGCGTAGCGTACAGCAATGGACAGGAATTTCTCGATCAATAGTGGGGAAAGTCGAAAAAAAGATTTCGCATAAACATGTTAGATGGTGGTAGAATGTAAGATAAAGTCGCATCCTCTTGATTAGTAATTGTTCGACTAGAGCGGCCCATCAATAATTGATCTGTAAGGTATATTGTGAAGATGCAATGCCAATTTCGTGTCTTTATATGAATGGGTGTATAGAGTTAGCGACACAAACTGCCGCCAAAATTGGAAACAAATTCGATATAGTGACCGATCAACCTGCGATATACGTCATGAGCAGAATGCGGAGCGGTAGTAGGCCCCGCTACCCGACTTCGAGTTAGAACTGCGGCATGGGCAGAAGCTCAGAAGTGCAGTCGACTGCTGTACGCTCTCGTACCAGAAACGTCATAAAATTTAAAGTAGATTAATGTATTAATGTACATTGCGCTTAATGTACTTTTCCCGCTTCTCCTGCCTCTCATCATTACATTCATAATCACCATTCCATCAAGTATAATCACTCAGTCATTCCAGATATGACCATACCGTTTTGATTCTTGCACCCTAATGCACATGTGTACATTAAATTTTATGTGCGTTCATTATAAATATTTTACTATATTTTAGGTTAAAGTAAAGGTGAAATTTTTGCTAGTGCTCGCGCACTCACGTGTCCGCCGATGCGCAGCGACTGGAAGTGGCGCGAGAGCTGGCGCGCGACGACGGAGGGGGCGGAGCCGGTGACGGCCGGGGCGGCCGGCGACGCGGCGGGGGCCGACACGGCCGGCGCCGGCGGCTGCTGCGGGGGCGGCGGCGGAGGCGGGGCCGACGACGTCGACGGGGCCGCCTCCGCCACCTGGTCCTCCTCCAGGCTGAAGATGAGGTCGGACTCGTCTGCAAAAGAAGGCCGGGCGCGCGCGTTCCAACGGGCTGCTCTGGCGAAGCGGCATTTCTCACGCGGCCGCCGCCCCGGCGAGGCGACACAGCGCCAATCACTCTCGCTACTTCTACTTTGCTTTCAACCATTACCACTACTACGAAAACGATTCCATTTTGGACATCCCATTCTACACCCTTCATTTACAATACTGTTTTAATGCGTTTTTTTATTTCAATGATTCGAGTATTTTATTTTAAAAGTTGAATTTGTCGATATTTTTTTAAGTTTTTCATTTCTTAAAATCTTTATTTTAAAGCGTTATTTATTGTTTTTAAACTTACTTCACCGGTGAAGAGTAAGTTCGTTTCGGAAGCATGAGAAATGCCGCATTTATCAGCTCTGCAACACCCGTATTAGAAAGGGTGAGTTATATCTACAGCTACACGCTAGGGCTAAAGTACATTATGAGACGCCTCGGCTGCATGGATTCAATACCAAAAGCCGTCTCGTTTCGGCCTAATATTATTATTTGGTGTAGAATTACTATACTATATTATGTGCAACACACAAAAGGGTCGTCGTTATTCACACAGGACCATTAATCCTTTAGTGAATCGGTGCTGCGGAGATGGTGTCTAAACAAACAGAAAACAACTGCAACGAGGGGAAGAAGCTGACTGTTGTCCGATCCATTTTAAGTATGTGATTGATATTTGAAAGGCGCTGATGCGACCCCGTATCATGCACCTATCATACCGCTCAGGCCGGAGTGCAATGGGCAGTCTGAGCGCTAGGAACGGTTGCTTCGCACAAGTGTCAATCACATACCCCTTTTCCAATCGGAGCGTAAGTGAGTTGGGAAGCGGTATTATGCGACTTTCACTCGAACACAGTGAGAGAGGCAGACAGAATGAAAAAAAGCGGACGGCACGAGGGGGACGAGTGGGCTAGGTGGGCGGGGCACGGAGTGCGAGTGTAGTTACAGTTGGGCGTCGGCGAGCGCGACGGCGGCGGGGACGACGGCGGCGGAGGCGGCGGCGCGCCGCGAGGGCGGAAACCGCGCAGGAGGAGGTGCGTGTCCAGACGAAGGCGAAGGCGCAGGGTTCGGACGAAGCCACCGCTCCCGCTCCCGCTACTGCTACTGCTCCCGCGACCCGCACGGCGCTCCAGCAAGGCGGGTTGCCTACGCGGCGGCGGGCCAGGCGCACGCTCTGCCACACCTATCGGCGGGCACACGAGGCGAGGGGAGGCCTTTCGGGGGACTGCTTGCCCGAAGGGGCTGCGGGGAGAGCGCCTCGGAGGAGCATGGTTCTCTGCGAGGCCAAAAGGCAAGGAGGCTGTGCTGCCTCATGCCCGAATTTTCCGCCTAGGGTCGCCGCCATCGCCTCGGCGATCTTTGACGACGAATTGATGGGGAGGGATGGAACAAGGAAAAACTGTTACAGAGTGGCCGATGAATTCGCGAACTAAAATAATTTCATATTTTAGGGACGCCCCTTCCCATGCCACTTCAATAGCCATCTCTTTGAAAAAGTATTTTTGTTACGCCTAATAATATGATTGGTTTTATTAAGAAATGTGACAAAATATTCTAGATCACTAGATCACCTAAAATAGGCGAAACTTCGGACGACTCCTTCGATTACGTTAAAGCACGGAATTTCTTCTAGTTTTCATCTAAAACAACCTGTAAGTCAAAATTGAGAGCTCATTTTCCCAAGGTTTTCACTTGATAATATTTTGGGTAGTCGAATATTCGTTAAAAAACGAAATGCCTCCCAATTAATCGAAATAAATTCTGCTTTGCGATATATTGTACTACCAATTTAGAATGTCCATTCATGAAACAGTTGTATTCTTTGGTAAGAACCCAAAAGAAATTAATGTTTAAGAATATATCCAGAATGACTGGACTGACGATTTCTTGAAATTGAATACACACAATATATCTTCGATTTTTGATTTGTTGGGCATATACAATGCTGAATTATTACAGCAAATTATAAAACATATTCTAATGTTTAGTGTGAAACTGATATAATATTAGATTTCTGAATAGTTTGGGAATGATAGAAAACACAACACACAACACAATTTAATGCATTAAATTGCCAAGCTCCACAGACAAAACTAAGACCTAATGACTCTTTCGAGGAGGCTCATACTGAATAATACAGAAATGACTAACGAAACAGTGCAACACTATTGAGAACTGGGAAGATGGGACCAGAATGACAGTGCACATAAGGTGATATCTTTTGAATCAGTACAACGGAGCATGGAGCTTGGAGTATGGAATATTAGACATAAAGTGCATAGTAGAGCATGTAGTACATTATCTGGTATAATGTCTATTACCACAAATTTGATTATGTAAAAGTGATTCAATTTTGGTTAAAATGCTTATCTGTTTTGGTAATTACTATTTTATCATTAGAACATGGGGGCCTTTTCATCCATCTTGCACAATACATGTATGATAACCTCTGACTCTACTGAAAGAATCTGGCAAATGTTCGACAAAATCTTTTTAAACTTTTGTAAAGTTGCAGATATTTTCTCTTTAAAAGTAGGTTGATATATTTTTCCTGCAATCTTTCCTGTAACTGAAAATATTTTTTTCGGTGATTACTTTTCCCTTAAACTATATTATTTGAATGTTGCTACCAAGCTAATTGATGATAACTGCATAACTATGCAAGAGCTTCATCCATGTATGTACACCAAGTATTAATCATAAACCAGTAAATATTGATTCTTTTCCACAACTTTTTTTTATGAAGTTCTCTCAATCCAGTGAATATATATAGGTGTCTATTAAAATTCAATTATACACTTGTATATTACCATTTCAAAATATTTCAGAAACCTAAACAATTTGTCACTAATTAACATATATTTAATAATTTATCACAATTCAATAAAATTTCAGTATTCAATAAAATTTAGAGAAAAAAGAAAAGAAAAAGAGAAATGTCCAAAAACATTAGAATGTTGGATGTGTAGTACAATTGAGCTTTTCAATTTAAGACAAAATATTAAAAATCTACAGTGACTTATTTTGGACAATGAATTAAGACATTCTGGCAGATAGTAATCTAAAAGCATTCTTACAAAATGGCTACAACAAATGTAACCAGCGGGTACAACACATTACAATGGAATTGGGAGGTTCTTAATTTGAAGTACAATTGGTTGCTTTGCTTCTTTATTATTATTTTTCTTCATTTAGTGGCATCTTTTATTTTCATGAGCTAAAACTAAAAATAATATACAGTAAAAACCATTGGGAATTCAGACATTTTAGTCTAATAACTAGGAAGCAGATTTTGATAACCTGATACATTACCAAAAATGATCAATAAAATGCTTTTTTTAAAAAATGATCAATCAAATGCCCTAAAAGCAAAGAAAATGATGTAAAAAATGTGATCAAAACCAATTTGAATGAACAACTCATGCTGGATACATTACTGATATAATTGAGGCTTCTTCTATTCGTTCAAGTGCACTCCACTTGCAGACTTTTCATTTGGACTGATCTTTTCCAGGAAATTCGTCTTTAGTTATCCCAAAATTGGTCAAACGAATAATGGCACCGATAATTGTCACAGGAACCTTAGACTACGTACAACAGCTGACATTACAATTACTGAGTGAAGAAATTAAATAGGCTACTCAGGAATTCTGTGGAGAACATTTGTTGCATCTTGTAAACATTATTTGAAGCAAGTACAATTAAAATGATATAAAAATCAGTGAAATTGGTAAAAAATTCATTTAAGATTATAGAAAAGGTAAAAAACTGTGTTATTAGTCAAAATCAAGGAAAAATGCAAAACAATGACTAATAAAAATGAGCAATTTCTTTTTGCCAAAACATAAAATTAATTTCTATACTAAATGGCATTGCTCAAAAGGAAAAGGAAACAAGTGACATTTCATCAAAATCCGCCACCTACTATGAACTGTGTTCTTTGTTATTTTAGATGAAATATAGCAGGTATGGCACCAAGGGAACACATGATCATATTTGGGGTTTTGGATATGGAATGATTCACATATCACAGATATCCTTTTCTCTCAATGGATCATTCTAACAAGCAATACACTTATTATAGTTATTTAATAATTATGAGACAACAAATATTTTTTGTTTATTATTTTTAGAAAAAGCACCTTAAGTAGTACTTCTTTAAAGAAAGCAAGACACATACCGTTAAATTCATTGTCACAAGTTTAAAACAATAAGTAGCAAAACCTAAAGTCCCGTTTCAAAAAATAAACGAAGATCCTTAAAACATGCCCAGAGCAAAAGTGTTAAAAAAACAACCAAATTTTTAATCACGTGTGTCCCTAAATCATTGATCCAATGAAAAAACAAATTTTAATGCCATAAACAATACAAAAAGTATTTGGGATGCTAGTGGTTATTGAATCACATCTTTAGAATAAGCAAAGTTAAACCTGGGTATAGTAAATTTTCAGTTGTAGAGAACCAATGTCACTGTACCTGATTCACATCCATTACAAATAAACCTGAGATTATTTGGTTATAGTGAGCTCTCTTCATCAGCTATAGTAAACATAGGAAATACAACTTCCCAGAAAAAATATTTCACCTCACAACTGCAAAGCTGAATATCATTAAGAGTTTGCAGGTGAAGGGTCTAATGTGTAATTTTTGTAGCATTTATGGTAAATGAAAGGAACTGAGAGATTCTACCACTGATGAAATTGTTTCAGCTCATCTACGGTGATTTCGCCGAGAATGATGACATAAAAGACTGCGAGATAACGAGTAAAATTTCATCTAGCACGACATTGTTAATGCTGTAAAAGTGTCTTCCAAAACTTTTTAAGAAAATTAATGTGATGACAACACACCATAGGATACAAATGTGGAGTGTTCCCATAGGGCACGAGTTATTGAAGGATATTAAGACTGAAATATTTTGTTGTGGCCATGTGGAATCAAGTGACAAAGAACATGTGACATATGGAAACAAGTGACTATGGAGAAGAATCAGTAATAAACAGCAAGAAAAGTTATTTTTTACAGCTAAATAAAAGTTTGAAATTTAGAATTTGCAGTGTTTGGATATTTTACTCAACCTCTGTAATAACAAAAATCTGTTGAGGAGAGACTAGTTTATTTTTGTATTATCGGATATTCTGAACCTCAGTTCAGTGAACCTAAAATGATAGTCACAAGGGATTCACAACAACTGCAGTCAACTGTGGTAGGGATATTTAACAGAAATTGACAAATGATACCTGGAACATTTAATTAACTGCAAAATGCACTATGTTACTTCCCAAAACTCCACAGTATGGCCATGACATTCCCTTGAGAGTTTCAATGAAATTGAAGAAGTCAGGGAAAATTTGGTCATTTGCTTCTGGTATATTACTTGATATTTTGAAAGATGAATAGTTTGATGTGATTCAAGTTATTAATCCCTTGCTCAAAAGTTTAGAAATGATTGATGCATATAAGAAAACATGCACATGAAAATAATGAGGAGTAACTTCTTTTCTCATGGAATTATTCTGATAACATGAAATATGGTACCTACAATGAAATTACATCAGTTAAGAGAGCAAGTTATCAAGAAAATGCATTACAAATCTCAACTTGCTTAATAACTAACAATTATGTAACAATATCATGATATTTTACAGGCTAACCTCCATTTTTCAACCTCTTCAATACCTTGACATCCTCTCTTAACTTGGACACCCTGTGTTGCTAGATAACTGATTCATGTTTACCAATGCGATTTAGTGGCGCACTTTTGGGTCCTCAATTATTCATTCCTCTGAGCCAGGAGACATCACATCCATGAACTCAATTTTCAAATTCTAATACTATGCAAAATTTCCAAATGCAAATGCTGATGCTGATGATCTACTTCCTCAACCACAAAACTACATCTGTCAACTTACAAGCATTACTGCTCAAGGTATGCAATGAGTGTTGGGGATTTTATGGATGCCAGAATATGTGTATCAAAACACAATTGTCCATAAAGTTCCTACTTCTTGGAAATGCTTTCTTTTTTAAAATTCCATCTTTGTATGCATCAGAAATGCCAATATAAGTAAAGTCTATTATAAATGAAAGCATTTCTTCCATAAATAATAAAAAAACAATCAATGATCATTAGCATGAAATTTGTATGCAAATCATCAAGCCATCAAGATGCATAGATAATGTGATGAAAAAAATACTGAAATTTCAAATAATACAACTTGCATTAATTCAAAAAAAAAAAAAATGTTTCATTACATGAATAATCAATTCAATTTTAAATATTTAAATGTATTACATTATTGTGCAATAGAATTTAATGAGAACATTGTTCTTTCTAATACCTGTAGAAGATCAACAACAAACTTTATATTATAACAAGCTTGTATATTAAAAATTACAACACTTCTTCATAAGTTACAGTAAAAGGGGCCATTATTTTAGCAATGTACATGAAAACTGAAATGAGTATCCCACACTGCCAGCAAACATTTCAAGCTGTTTAATCTGAATTTTCAATGAAATGAACCTGACAAAAACCCTATGCTCAAAAGTACAAAACCAAGAATCTTAATGATATTTTTATTCATTTAGGCCATTCTTGTTTATCCCTAAAGCATTCCATAACACTGTTTTTAAGAATGAATACAGTAAGGTTTTCTAAACAAGCAATTATGGCAAAATGATTTAAATGCATGCCAATTCATACTGGTGATAATGAAACTTTTCTTTTTAACAAGTGAACATGCTGTCAAACCAGGTACATCATAATATGACTACAAGTCTTGCAAATGGTAAACAAAATACTTACCAATATGTAATCAACCATTTGTATTTGTTGTCACAGACACTGAAGAATATTGTAAAATATCTGAATTAGGCACACAAAAACAAGTGTTGTTGAAACATGAATACTGGTGTCAGCGTGACCATCGCAAACATCATGCTTTTGAGGCAAGACAATGTTCCTCATAAACATCTATTGAAAAACATTTGACACACAAAATTACAAATGGAACATGAACATGACTGGTGTTATAAAAAAATGAAAACAAAAATTGACTGTGAAGAAAAATATTTTCCACAAATGACTTTGCATACACCAGACTGCTTCTCACAAAAGCGCTTGCATATAAAGTGAAGGTGATATGAACACTATCTACAGCATTAAACAGTCAAGTATTTTTGCACACACCTTCCGAGCAAGCTCGTGATAATGACACTAGCCTCATTTCTGAAACTGAGAAATTAAGAGATACAGCTCTCTTCAAGTTTGACAGAATTCATTAAACAGTATAGCAATTCAAATATCATTTAAATAATTATTCATCCTCCACTGAAATACACATTGAACTTTTAGTTATATTTAACATTCATTCTTCAATACTGCACAAAAACACAAAATGTTGGAAAATTATCTTTCAATATGTGTACACAATTAAAAATGGAAAATTGTTTAATTAAAAAGTAATTACTTGAAGAAACATCCTGAAATACTCGTAAAAGCTTTGATTGGAGAATTCTATCTTCCATAATCAATTTATCTGATATATTAATCACTGCCAGTAAAGAAAAGCACAAACTGTTGATTAACATTGTATTAAAAATGCCTCTGCCACACTTTCTAGCAACAAACTCAGAAATGTGATTTGGAAAAATAAATATTTAAAAAACAATCTTTCAAGAAATAATAATCTGAAAAAAATTATCTTTCCACATGATATTGTTGATTTTACCTCTTATTGCAAATATTTTTTTTAAACTATTCGTTTTTAACTTTTTTTTGAGAGCTAAATCATTAATTCTTGATGAGATGATACAGACTTAACATTGATACATTTCATTTAATTGATGGCCATTGCCAAAAAAAGATTTCATACTCAGAAAGACAGAGTCTAAAAATGTAGTGGAAAGTTTACTGCTGTCAACTTCAATCCATTAATGAAAGAATTAAAAAAGAATTTTATACTTTATTTTATTTTATACTTTTCTTTTTTTTTTTCTCTCTCCTCTCTCCTTTCATTTCTGGTAACTAAGCAGCGGATGTTTGCGTATTTGCCTATTTTTTCCCTTCAAAGGAGACCACAATATTTTAAATTAATTATTAATTTTGAGGCATTAGAAGTATTTGTATGTGTATTTGAAGTACATGCAAAATTTTTAGGGCCTATAAGTGTATATTTTACAAATAAATTCCTATTTTGAGTTTAAGTGTTGCATATTCTCATATTTATATATCAAAATGCAATTATCTTTAATCCAAAATTCAAAAAAATGTATGTTGTTTTGTTTGTATCATGCAGATTTCAGAAAAATCAAACAACTATGTAAAACTCTATATTTCATTTTACTGCAACCATATTTTGCCGGATAGTTCATATTATGAAACATGTGCTTAATCTTTGGTAATAGGGAAAATATTTTTAATTTTTAAACAATTTTTTTCTAAATTAAATATATGTATCAAAAAACAGTATAACAATTTGGAACCAGTTCCATTTTTTGTGATCACTGCATTTTTGAAAATTGGAGTAAGTTAACATTGTATGAGTAAAATATTGAATATGTATATGTTTGTCTTCAATGAAATATGTTCTAAAAACTCAGATCTTTAAAAAAGATCATGGGTTTTTTAACATGTTGTTTTTGCTGAACTTCTGCTTGTTCTTGTGCTTGAATGTCTGTTAAACTCTCTGAATTTTTGAAAATTGCGAATTTTGAAATATGTTTCTTGTTATAATGTGGGAAAGTATGTCCTATTGTAACCTCACTAGTTACAAGATTGGTGTAATCCATGGCAATGAAAAAAAATTGTACAATATTTTCATTAATGTGAAAAATGTTTTCAATAAATGTGAGAAAAAAGATCATACTGTGAAGTATTAGAGTAACAGCTTGTATTAAATAAAAAGCAAAAAGGTAGCTACTGCAACTCAGCGTTTTTTGTTCAAATTGCCCAACAGTGAAAGAAAGGATTTGTCAGAACAATTACTAAAGCAAACATATTGTGAAGGTAACTATATTATGTTTACTTCAGAAGCTTTCTACACAAGAACATAAATACGGATAAGAAAAATAAAGAATGCCTTTTTAAATGCCTATTTTGCAGGTCTATATTTACTGTTTTTTGTGCCTATAAATCCGCAGCTTATTGATAACCACGATGAACATTGTGTATTAATATCAGATAATGGAACCATTACTGAATTTAATTGCTGATTAAAAACCTATTGTTAATATCAACTTCACATTTCAAAATCAACATTACTAGTTAGGAAAAAAAAAAGAAGAAAAAATAATTTAAATTACTCCTTTTCCCAACATACAATGTAGATCCAAAGCAAAAATTAATGTGACAAAAGCACTCACCACGACGATTGGAAAGAAGTTCCCGACTGCATGACTGGGCAATCAGTTTTCGCCGACCACGCTGAGGTTGCTTCTCAGCTTCAGTAACTCCCAGAGCCATTCCTGTTGACAAAGGGGCAACTTTCATCACATTGAGATTCTTGGAAAATTTATAAAAATATAAATGAACACCTGCAGTTGTTAAGGTGCACAATATAATATTTAGCATCAAAAGAGGCAACCCTCAATATCATATAAACCACTGTTTACTGTATAATTATAAAATTCATTGTAGAAAATAGTATATTACATATATTTTATTGAATAATAATGAACTTGAGAACCAAATATGTGTTTGGTAAAGTAATGATGTACATTAGAAAGCAGTGAATATTTGAATTGGAAAAAATGAAGACAAAGTAACAAAATGAAAACATTACAAAGAAAAAGGAAATTGATGCATTGTACCTAGATCATGCAGCATCTTTTGGCATCTTGGATTAAGATGAACATAAAGGAAGCTGAACAAAGGTGACATAGGAAACGTTCACTGCAGGGTGTAGGAAATTCAATTCTGGTCACCATAGAAATGAAGAGATGTACTGTACAGGGAGAAAAACGGGACAAATTAAAATTCACAAGTTCTCAGTAACAAGGGTCTAAATACTAATTTTACGTTTCAGTATATTCCCTCCAAATTTCTTATCACAATTTTGAGGTGATTATTACTATCTTCTGATGAACACGAAATTTACTAACCAAAGCTACCATGAGAAGTTCAATGTAGTATTAATATTTTTATCATAAATGCTGTAATAATGTAATACTTTATCAGATTGAATAACAATTTTAGTTATTTTTTGGTAATTTTAACAATAGAGAGTATTTTATATCTGCAAAGCCGAGACCAAAACAACACATAACCACATGTGCCCCGTCCCCACACAAACACACATCCACTCCTATATACACACACACACACACGAACATCTGTTGTTTATATAACTTCAAATCACATTACAAAACATTCCTTAATAGCACATTACAAAAACATCATTAAGGAAGTATAAATGCAGTGCAATAAATCTGCATGTTTAAGAACTTGATTCCTACAAGATAACTCAGCTAGTTAACTAAGAAACAACTATATAAAATAATAAATTAATAATAATTTTAATGACATTAATTAATTAATAATAATTTTACTGACAAAAATGGACCAAAAACGGCACATGAAAATAGTCACAATTTATGACCAAGACATAATGTAAAAGGTTGTGACATAAAATGTGTCATTTTTGTCCAAAAATGTTTATTGGTCATTCAAACTAACTGTTTTATCATGGATATAAAATCCTATTGCTGATGTAAATTAATATAACTCGCTTATTTAAGATATCAAAATTTTAAACAATTTAGAAAATAATTGAAAAGAATCAGAAAGTGGGTTTTGGAGTAACTGAATTACTTGTGGTGGTTCATCTAGAGTAAATGTCACCAAAATATAAAATGCCTATCATACAAATCAGTACCATCAACATATTGAATTCTTTAAAATGGAAAAGAGGTGGAAAAAGAATGCAATCTGATTGCCTGATATTATTGATCTCTTAAATCTACGGGAGGAGGGCGAGCAGGGAGCTGAACGCGGTACCGAGCGGCGAGTGCATCGGGGAATCCGAACGCAGGAGTCGAACGGGGTAGTCGAACGGGGTAGTCGAACGGGGTAGTCGAACGTACGGGGTGTCCTCAACGTGGGAGTCCAAACGGGAGTCGAACGGTGAGTCGAACGGGGAGTCGAACTGGGGAGTCCAACGGGGGAGTCCAACGGGAGTCCAAACGGGGAGTCCAACGGGGTAGTTCCAACGGGGAGTCCAACGGGGGAGTCCACGGGGAGTCCAACGGGGAGTCCCAACGGGCGTTTAGTCCACGCGGGGAGTCCAACGGGGAGTTCCAACGGGGAGTCCACACGGGGAGTCCAACGGGGGAGTCCCAACGGGGGAGTCCAACGGAGGGAGTCAACGGGGAGTCGAAGGGGAGTCGAACGGGTAGTCGAACAGGGTGGAGTCGAACGGGGGAGTCGAAGGGAGTCGAACGGGGATCGAACGGGGTAGTCGAACGGATACTGCGTTGCTATGATTTTCTGTTGTTTGCCTTCTATGAGTGGAACGGGGGAGTCGAACGAGTGGAACGGGGGAGTCGGAACGGGTAGTCGAACGCGGAGTCCAAACGGGGTAGTCCTAACGGGGGTGTCCAACGTGGGAGTCCAACGGCGGAGTCCAAACGGGGGAGTCCACGGGGGAGTCCAACGCGGGAGTCCAACGGGATTCCAGACGGGGGAGTCCAACGGGGAGTCTCAACCGTGGGTGAGTCAACTGGTGGGAGTCGATACGGTGGGAGTCGGAACGGGGAGTCGAACGGGGAGTCGGAACGTGGGATGTCGAACGGGAGTCGAACGGGGGAGTCGAACGGGGAGTCGAACGGGGGAGTCGAGTCGAACGGGGGAGTCGAGGTCGAACTGGCGAGTCGAACGGTGGAGTCGAACGGGGTAGTTCGAGATCTGGGGAGTCGAACGGGGAGTCGAACGGGAGTTCGAACGGTTATACTGTTTTTTTAATTGTTCTTTTTTTTTATATTTTCTTTATTTTTTTTTTCCTTTTTTTTCATTTTTTTTTTTCGTGTCGTGTTTTCGTATTGTCATTGTTTTTTTTCTTTTAACGGGGTAGTCGAACGGGCAGTCGAACGGGGGAGTCGACGGGGAGTCGAACGGGAGTCCAACGCGTGATGCGAAACGGGAGTTCGAACGGGGATGCCCATTGGGGGGGTAAGCCCATTGGGGGGGGGGGAGCCCATTTTGATGTGGGAGCCCATTGGCGGCGGAGTCTTGGGCGAGCCCATCATGGGGCCCATCGGGACTCCATTGGGGAACGGATCTGGGGAACCATTGGGGCGATACGCATCTGGGAGCCCCCATCTTGGGGGAACCCATCTGGGAGCCCATCGGGGGGAGCCCTTCGAGTAGCGCATCTGGGGGCCATCTGGGAACCCATGGGAACGCAATTCGGGGGAAAGCCATTGTGGAAACGCATCTGCGAGCCATTGGGGGAACCACATCTTGGGGAGCCATCGGGGGAGCCCATCGGGGGAGCCCATCGGGGGAGCCCATCGGGGGAGCCCATCGAGGGAGCCCATCGGGGGAGCCCATCGGGGGAGCCTACCGGGGTGCAGACGCCTCCCAACATACCGAGCACGGAGATCTGGATCTCGTCGGCCTCGGGCAGCTCGACGCGGAAGCGCAAGCGCGTGAGCGCGGCCGGGGCGGCGCGGCGCAGCTTGAAGAAGAGGCCATGCAGCAGGCGCGTGCAGCTGGCGTGCAAGGCGCGCGACGCCTGCGCCTGCGACACGGGCAGGCGCGAGCGCCACACGTGCGTGAACATCTGCGGGCCCGGCGCCAGCTCGCCCTCCTCCAGCCCCGGCGGCAGCTCCGTCGTGCACGCCACGAAGCCCTCGGGCGGCGGCGGCTCCAGCAGCTGCGCCACCACCTCCATGTCCTCCGAGTCGTCGATCTGCGACACAACGCAGCGCTCGCTTTACGCGCTGCGACGAGGGGGAAGCGATCGCGTTGCCAGGATTGCGCAGCGATGGCCAAGCACATACATACCAAAAGGGCAAAGCAACGAGGTACTTGTAAAGGTAGTTTATTCGTATTGCGACAGGAAACCTTCGATATCGATGGAAAGCTCCTCTCTTCCTCTTTGTTCATCGTAAAACTACTCATTTGTTTTCTCAAATTCACAACTTCTTTCATTTTATTGAGAAATCTATGCTAGAAGATACATTTTTGTTTTTTGAAATATATGATTTTTTTATGCTTTGGAACACCTGCAATTCAGATGCACGGAACCGAACCATCGATGACAGAGTCGTGTTCAGTAATCATCGTATTTCTAAGGGGAGCGTATGCACGGAGTGCCAGGTTCGGAGGAGGCGCTAAATTTTCTCTTTTCATTTTCAAAATCAAGCTATTATGTCAAACAAACCCCGTTATGTTCCCGATAATGACGCCATTTAGTTACAGTTTCAAAGGTGTTTTGATACCAAAATAGTATTTAAAGATCTCCGAAACGTTCGTTTGTGAGAAAAAATTATTGAATATTGTTTATTTTTTGTATGACTGTAAACTGAAAATACAGTAATTTTCGTGCACAATCATCTTTTAATTTTTGAAACTAGGTTCAACTTAGGAAAACAATTTCTTAATAACCGCGTAAATGCATAACATTCAAATTCACGAAATGATTTATTTCAGTGATACACAACATTGAGAAATAAAGAATATTTTGTAATTTTTTTCATGTACAAGCGGGTTACATATAAAAATTTCACGCCAAAAATAAGATTATTATTAATAATAATATTAATAATAATAATAATAATAATAATAATAATAATAATAATATATCATTAATCTACAAAGCCACTCTCATCCAGTCTATGTGTTAAATCTTTTGCGGTAAGTAGAAAAAATTAGATGTACATGTTTTATGCAATTGGGTTGGAGAGGGGAGGAGACAGGGGATGGATCTGAAAATTGGTAATTAATAGTATTCTGGATTAGAAATATTATTCACACTGCGAGTTCAAAACGTGTCAGGGGAACATTTTACAATCGTAATGGGAGACAGCCTTTGCAATACACGGTTATGCTTCTATGGCGTGCATGCCAGCAGGCAGACTCCAAAAATTAATTTCTTCTCACTTACATTTCAAATCTCTCAAATTACGGCTTTGTAACACCAAGGGAGCAATCCCCCCCACAGATGGCCGGAAGCAACTTACCTCAAAGACGCACACGTCCTTGTTGCCCGCGGACAGGTCGATGTCGGGCAGATCGTCCTCCGACTCGTCGGTGTCGGAGGCGGCGACGGCAGCTGCGGCCGCAGCGGCCGCTGCAGCTGCGGCGGCGGCGGCGCGCGGCGCGGACGCAAGCCCGAACGCGTCCCTGGCGCGCCGCACCGCCTCCTGGATCTGGCGCTGCGTCTCCGCCAGCGCTGCCTCGTCCGTGTAGGCGTTGCCCGCCGTCACCTTGGGCATGCTCGGCGCCGGCAGCGCGGGCAGGTAGGTGGCCGTGCCCGTCGCCATCGCCACCATCAACCGCTCGCCGATCACCACTTGCACCTGGAAGGGGGGACGAATCGATCGATCGATTAGTGATTCTGGGCGCGTCAACTGCTGTCCGTCAAGTGCATTTTCCCTTGTGAGGTTGCAGTGATCTTCCTCCGTTAGATGAGATCTGGCGCCGACTTGCCGGTCGGTTTCCCCAACCAAGGAAATCTCCCAGCAGCGGGTCACCGCCCCAGCCGGGAGAAGCTCCAAGCCCCCGACTGGTCTCCAGGCGTGTGTGGCAGTGTAGTTCATGAGAGAATAAGGGCGGTAAGGTGTAGTGCATGTATGAGTAAGTAAGGAGTAAGGATAAGTGATTAAGGACAAGGAAGAGAAAGAACGGAAAGCTACCGATCAGAGCAGCCGGCCGCTAGAATTCTTCTCCAGACAGCGACTGAATTCGATCTAGCTGGAAAGCTAGTGTCGAAAATCCTGTCGTCGGGACTCGAACCTATAATGTCCTAGTCAGAGGCACTGCAGTGACATCAGTTGACGCCCTGAGCTACCTCAGTCAGAGGTCAAGAAGTAGTTTAGTGCTCAGATGCAAACGACTGTCTCTACAGCTGTTCTGCGAAAGCATAACAGGCATATATATAGCACTTTATATCTGGTGCAGTTTTCTGAAATACGTTATATGCTGTTTGTTATTAACTATCCCTTTCTGTTCAAAACTTCAATGAAAATTCGACATACCCAACAACTGTTTCTAAAATTCGTTTTCACACAATGTTTATTAATGTCAATTTTCAAATTGTAATCGAAGTATTTTTGCAAATGAAAGTTCTGTGCAATGCAAAATGCAGTTTACAAATAAAAGTTTCACAAAACACAATTTGAAAAAAAAAATAACACGTTTAAATTGTAATTGAAGGGTTCTTGCAAATGGAAGTTCTTAAATAATAAGTTTTGAACCAATCGTTAGGTGGAAAACGCTGCATTTCAGTCAACACTTGTCAGAGTTCCTTTGCTTATATTAGTTACTAATGAATAGTAAGTAACATAATGGTTCTTAAAAATGTTTAAATTTGTTAACAATGTTTAATTTACGTTATGGTTCATTACATTCCTCGCTGGCCTTCACATCTGGATTCACAAGGTGATTTTAGTTACAATTAATATTTTTCTATGAAGGCGTGTTCTATAATGCGTGTTAATGTGTTCTCCATAATTAACACGACTGCAGATTCACCACATCACCAAAAACCTCGACGTAGGGAATGGTATTGCGAGACGGACGAGAAAGGTAACTCTCATGTTTTACTTTCCACTTGTCAACGACTTGGTGGATTGGTGGGAGAACGATTGACGCTATCGATCTACAGATACTTATGGGGCAATAGTATCCCAAGAGCATCTATTGTCACCGGTACCAAAGGCGTGGCTACGCCACGTTCAACAACAGAGGGGATATTGGCTGCATCGAGTAGTCCAGAAGTTATGCAGAGGATCTGACAATCCATGTTGTCAGTGGAAGGCTATTTTTTCTACTCAGTTCCAAAGCGCCTACGAAAGATTCGAATAAAATACACGGTGGTGTCGACATTTGTGTGTGGAGGAGGACGGTGTTGTCGCTTATTAACATGTTATGAGTTACCTACGGCACAATACCCTATTTGCATTACAAAGAAAACTTATATCACACTAGTCGCAATTTCCGCTTACGCAACGCATTTTATCACAATATTAACCTCACTCTTGACTGTTGTAACGTTGCTCAGTTATTTCAATGAGATATTCGAGCCTTGGGATTCATTTGTTCTAGAATTTGATGCGGAAATGTTGTGCAAATGTGCCGCGAACCTAAGCGACAGCTTCGGTTAGCGGCACTATCACTTACGTGGTTTGGTGGTTTGTCACGCGCTGTCGATTATATTCCGATTTAAACACAGTGGCACTTAAAGGTCAGAGAGAGGGGAGGGGCACTATCATCCAATCGGAAGCTTCGATACCCCTTATTTTGTGGTATTTGAGCTCCCAATTGGATGGCAATGTTCATTCTTCTTCCAGCTCGTGATCTTGAAGTGCTACTATGTTTAAATCGGAGTACAGGCCAACGACTCTAGTAGACTAAAGTTGGCCGTGCTCTGGCGCTACCACGTGACGACGAACCGTCAGCCCCCCCTCCCCCCTCTACTTCCAGTACACATAGACGGCAAGACTCACCCGCAGGCCGAAGATGGCGTTCATGCCGCGCAGGCGCAGCTTGCAGTTGAGCACGCGGTGCAGCTCGTACTCGAGGAAGGGCAGCCCGTCCGAGATCTCCTTGGCGTTGAGCTCGCCGCGGCCCATGTCGCGCTTGGGGCGGCACACGTACGCCTGCAGCAGCGCGCCGCGCCCCGCGATCGGCAGGCCGTCGGGCGGCTCGATCGTCGTGTACAGGAACTCCAGCACCTGCCGCACGCACACACGCCGCGCTTCAGCTACTCGCCTCCCTCAAAATCACACACCTACCGGCCGATTACCGCCGCGACAGGTAAACAAATCCGTAGTGAACGATTCTGCCGCTAGAAGAGCGCAAGTCAAACTAAGATTCCTGCATTAAATATTACGAACATGCTCAAAAAGCTTACAAGCAGAAATCGTGCAGTCTGGACTGCACGTTTTCTGTACGTCCAATCTGCATGAAAACTGTACCGTGTATACCAGCATTTAGGATATGCAACCCCACAGGTGGCCCCGGGGTTCGGAAAGCATGTTTGTCTAATTGAGCCCAAGGCGGAGAGCACAAAAGCTATTATTTCTTAATGTATTCCGTCATTACTGACGACCAATTCTTAAAAGCGTTAAGTGCAAAGGCTACAACATGGTACATATTTGGGAAAATACATTTCAATTTAAATATTTTTAGGAATTATGTAGAAGTTAAATTTTTCTGACAACAAAAAGCCATGTACGTTCTCTGTACATAGGAAATAGTACTTCGTATGAGTAATACATTTGCTTATTTCTTCCTTGAATATTGTACTCATCCTTAAGAAGTGAGGTAGCGACTCACAAGAAAATGAAAGACCAATTAATTGTCGATCTCTCAAAGTCGTTATGACATACTATGTGAAAACCATTACATACGCAGATCATGCACCTTTTTACCGGCAATAATAACAAATATCATCTTTAACATTATGTAGTTGGAATATAATACTAGCAACAATATATTAGTTATCGTCGATGTTGTAATTAAATTTACCATAATTACAATTGCTGTACAAGTGTCTCAGAATAAATGCAACAGTTCAAGGGATGAAGGGCGATTTCAAACATCATCACTTTTTGTGGTGTTATGAGTGATTATCTTCAATACCCCCCACATGACCTAAACGTTTGTAACATCAATTCTGAGGCACCTCAGAATAATTTTGATAAAGATTCATTTTCTTGATTATCAATTCTTCCAAAGTTATATTTTTCTTCAGTATTCTCTCATTACAACCTCCAAAACTAGGAACTGTGTTTTCCTGTCTACTAAAAACCATCTCTAACATATCGTGGGAAACCTATCATAAGTTGACACACGCGACATTTGGCCCTGATATGTAGACAACTCGACTTGCACTGGTAATAGACAGGTTCAACAATCCTTTTTTACTGCCTCAGAACGTTTACCTGCCAAAGAGCACATAGTTGCCTATCACTATGGGGCGAATGTCACTTGTATTTTTTTTTAATGTGAAATGTTCCATCATGTGTTTACTAAAAACTACTACATTACTAAAAACTGATTATCTTCAAGCCTCCTTATTACCTAAAACTCTGTCACATTAATGCTGAGACACCTGCACAAGATTATGATCGTTTCTTCATAATAAAGATCACTTCATTTGTTCAATTTTTTTTCAATATTCTCTCACTACTACCCACACTTTTTTCTTCATTCACTGAAAACCATCTTCAACATGTAGTACGAAATCTTTAATAATTTTGACACTTGCTCCCGATTGGTAGACAATCCGTTTTGCACTGGTGATTGGCGGGTACAACAAACCCCACTGACTGCCTCAGAACGTTTACCTGTCAAATAGCACAAAGTAGCCAACCTCTTAGGGGAGAATGGTGCGTGTAACTTTGATACGTCATATTTCTCCTCGGATGTTCAATAGAAAAAAAATATCAACAAAGCTCACCATCACATCAGTATCTAGAAGTTTGGAACTTTATTTGTAGAATACCTGTCCAAAGGTTCTGATAAAGATTTATTTTTCCCGAAATCAATTCTTCCTTTGTTACAGTTTTCTATGGAAATCTCCCATTACAACTACCAAGACCACCGCCCACGCAATTGCTTTTTCCTGAAAGCCACCTGGGGCATCCCAAAGCAAGAGCAGCCTCCCGAAGGACGCACCTTGTTTCTCTTGCACTGGCTGCCCCAGAACCTGTCAAAGAGCACAAAGTTGCCAACATCTTAGGGGAGAATGGTGCGTGTAACTTGGATACGTCAGATTTCTCATCGGATGTTCAATAGAAAAAAAAATTTCATCAAAGCTCACCACCACATCAGTATCTAGAAGTTTATTTGTAGAATACCTGTCCGAAGGTTCTGATAAATATTTGTTTTTCCCCAAGACAATTTTTCCTTTGTTACAGTTTTCTATGGAATTCTCCCATTACAACCACCAAGACCACCGCCCGCGCGATTGCTTTTTGCTGAAAGCCACCTGGGTCATCCCGAAGGACGCACCTTGTTCCTCTTGCAGACGCCGCAGCGCGTGGACACCACGCGGAAGGGCACCGAGTTCTCGTTGTAGGGCAGGTGGCACGGCGCGCAGCTCGCGGGCGCCGGCACCTGCGACTGCGCGTGCGCGCTGGCGAAGCCCCCGGCGCCGCCCTCCTCCGCCGCGGCCGCGCCGCCCCCGCTCTCCGACCCGTGCCGCGCCTTGCCGCCCACCTGCACGCACCGCGCGCCTTAAGCCTTCAAGACCAAATGCCAGCTACGGGAAAGAGTGCAATCAAACGAGTAAGCATGAGGAAAATGCAACGATTGCAGCACAAATGATATCAATTAATTCATTGATTATTTTGTCTCTGTGCACGTCAACATATGGTAATTACTTCCGTAAGTGTAGTGTCTGTTATATCCCAGGACGTTACGCTGTTCCTCCGCTGGAAGTTTTAATCGTGCGCCGACTTAAACGTCGGTATGCGGGAGATTTGCAACTCCAGTTTTTTCCCCTAGCTATGACTTTCTCACTGGTAAGCACCTCACGGAAAGGGAACAGGAAAAATGTACGTGTGAGATCCTTAGGAAGAGTAGAAACGTGAAGAACTCGCAAAAGGAAAAATGGATGGCAAATGATAAAAACGGCACATCAAGGAAGAAAATGATTAGAAAGATCTCAAGAGTTGCCGGATATGTTTCCAGAACAAGGCAAAAGATCTGATCCCTATAAGAAGAAAAAAACTGAGAGAAATGAAACATCTCTATTAGACAGTGAACAAGTCTAGCTTGAACATCTCAATTGATTGATTAGAGTTTCTGGGCGCGTCTGCTTAGGTAATTAGTACCGTAATTTTAGAGATTGTTTATCGCGGTAGACCTTCCTCAGCTGGATGGCGAGATCCGACGCCGGCCTACACGAGACACTGCTTGAGGGGTATCTTCCACCAGCGGAGCAACGCCCCCGCAGGGACAAGCTGTCAGCTCCCATTCTGTCTGGAAGTATAGTGCATGTACGTATGTGTGTGTGTGTGTGTGTGTGTGTGTGTTTGGGTGTATGTAAAAGGAGTGGAGGGTTCAAGGAGGAGGAAGCAAAGATCGGGCGCGGTCCGTATCGTAGGGTAGTGTTCCGACATTCGCCTTGTGTTGATTGCAGCTGAATTCGACCTGGCTATGAAGCTGTCTAAAATCTTGCCAGAGTTGGGACTGGAACCTTAGGACCTCCCAGTCAGAGTCACTCCAGTACCAACCGGTCCAATAGCTCAAACAAGAGAGGCAGGGGCTGGAGGCGGCGGTCTCACCGACAAGGGCTGCTGACGAGGCGCCGGCAAAGGCCGAGGCGCAGCGCGGCGCGCGCTGCGGCGTGGGAGCGGTCCCCGGTCTGCTCCTGGGCGGTAGCGACGCCTCCCGCTCCTGCTGGACGCTCGCTGCTCTCCTCCTCGACGCAGCGGCAGCAGGCGGCTCGTGGCTCCCGCTCCCCTCCCCTGCGCGGCCCCCCGCCCCCCCCCGCGGGCCCCAGCCCGGCGCGGGGGGGGCGCCCCCCGGGGCGGAGGCGGGGGCAGGGTGGGCGGCGGGGTCGGGCTGGGGCCGCAGGCGGGGACAGCAGCGGCGGCGACCCCGGCGCCGACCCCCGCGGGCGGCGGCGGCCGGCGTCTGCGTCTGCGCCGGCGCGGACCGCGGGCGGCAGCGGCGCCAGGGCCCGACGCCCCCACGCCCACGCCCGCCCCGCCAACGCCGACGCGGTCGGGACCGGCTGCTGCTGCGGCGTGGCCTGCGCAGGGGTCTGCGCCCGCAACGACACCTTCACAACTCGCAATCAATCAATTTATTTTAAACACTCAGCAATTCTCGCATCTCTGTAATGAGCTTCAACGTTCACACATGGTTTAAAGGCAGAACTACATCTAGTGGGGTAAGTAGTACTATAAAAACAGATTTTCAATTCTTAAACTGAAACTAACACGTAAACTAGTTACTACTATATAACAGCTGATTGTTTAAAAGCATTCTCTAGAAAAATATTTAAAAATACTGATATTACTGACAAGTTAGGTATGAACTACGTAAGTAGTAAGGTGTAATAGGTGAATTAAGAGAAGTGAAAGTAGTTAAAGCAATAAGAAAGTGATGTAGTCTTAGTAAATAATTGTAAGTCTAGTAAAAAAAATCTTAAAAACGATGAAGTGCGCCTTTCTTATCTGAAATGGAAATAAGAATTTGATTTAAAACAAAAAAATGTAAGAGCACAATGTGCACGCGGTTGATTAAGATTAGGAGATAGAACTAAGCGCAATTCATGAGGGCTCTCGAGCATCGAAATACACAGTCCGTCACACAGAAAAGGAGACTGATGTGGAGAAAAAAAAAGCAAGAAGTTGGTTGTTCTTAGTGTACATGCTTTTTTATTGAAAATAGTCTCCTTGTGAGTCAATACACAACTGGAAGAGTTGGAAAAATTGTTCAAAACAATTCTGATAGTCAACAATTGGAATTGCCTGCCGGATCGTTGTCGTAGCCTTCTGGATATCGAAAATCGTGTCGAAACGTCGTCCTTTCATGGCCATTTTCAGTTTGGGAAATAGCCAGAAGTCACACGGAGCTAAATCCGGCGAATAAGGAGGATGGTCAATCGCAACAATACCTTTTTCAGCCAAGAATTGGCGAACGATCTTGCTTTTGTGCGCTGGAGCATTGTCGTGGAACAAACACCAAGTTCCTTGGTTGCGGTATTCAGGCCTCACCCGAACAATTCTCGACCATAAACGAGTTAGAACACCCAAGTAGTAATGTGCGTTCACCATTTAACCTTCTAAAGCAAATTCTTTATGGATAATTCCTTTGAAATCAAAGAAAACTGTGAGCAGTGTCTTAACACGACTTTTCTGCATTCGCACTTTTTTTCGGTTTTGGCGATTCTGGACCTTTCCATTCCGAGCTCTGACGCTTTGAAAGTGGCTTGTATTGATAATACCATGTTTCCTCACCGGTGACGATGAATGACAGGAAGTCTGCGTCCTCATCGGCCGATCGTTTCATGTCTCTGCAGTGTTCCACTCTGCAATGCTTTGGTCGTCCGTGAGTGAGTGGCGCACCAAGTGACAACAGATCTTCTTTTTGCCCAGATTTTCAGTCAATATGCGATGGCACAGTTGTTTTAGGAATTCCAGTGATCTCCCTCGATACCGGTAGATGCACAACGATCATTTCGAAGAATTTCAGCAAACTTTTTAATATTTTCTTCGACTCGCAACTGTCGCTGATGCTCCTGGACGTGGATCGTCTTCAATGCTTTCTCTTCCATCACAAAATCTTCAATACCACTTAAAAACATTTTTACGGCTCATTGCTTCACTACCATGAACACTTTGTATCATTTCAAAAGTTTCTCTGGCACTTTTACCCACTTTGAAACAAAACTTAATGTTCGCACGTTGCTACATTGCTCTTTTCACGACCGAGGGCCAAAACATACTGTTGCAGTTTTATTTACTGCGAGCAGTCTGTGATGCCAGCGTTGCTCCTTTTAAAAAGGAAGGTAGTCGAAACACAACACTACTTAATTCCTGCATCCGATCACAGATTGCACGATTGGTTCCGCGAATATAAAGTCAGTCACCTTTTCTGTGGGACGGACTGTGTATATTCTGATATATTACCCATTCCGTAAGTTTTCCACAAGTAACTACGCTGGCAACTATACTCCCTATTGGGCGGGACATAATGAATTACTTTGTACCAAGACAAAACGTGAGGACCCTTCATTAGAAACGAATGTCAAAGCCTTTTGAGTGCTGAGCGATTTACGCTGGTGGCGAACACGCTAGGCTCCCATTAGCATTCTCGAGCAAGAGTCTCCTGTGTCGCCTCCTGCATTGCACCGACTTCGCACGTTCACATCTAGTACAAATCTGACATAATGACGCCTGCACCCTCCATTTCCAATTACACTTCACCTTCTTTTCTGACACTTAGCCACCACTGTTAGTTGCGCTCAAATAATCCCTACATCTTTTTCACAAAACTTGCTTTCTAATTATTCATGTAAATTGCGAACCAACCCAGGCAAGAAAAAGGAGTAATTGAGCAGGTAAGCCCGTTAACGAGGTCACCGCCGCGCTGCTGTCCGGCATTTTCTTATGCCTCCTTGAAAATCTTCCTGACTAGCTCCTACATCCACATGAAAAGCAAAGAAAACACTAGAAGAGTGTCCAAATTTCATGTTCAGCGTTATAGAATATTTGCTGAGAAAATGAGGGAACGCATAAATGACAAGATAAGCAGAATTAAGGTAATTGAATGTCAACCAACTTAAACGAAATAATTCGAAATAAATATACAGTCCTAATACTGGAAAATTGGGAAGGGAATTGTGTTTGAAAAATAATGGCTATGAAAATATTCTTCGAAAATAGTCACATTTTGCCTATGAGATGACGTAGTCGGTCCCCAATTTACAACCTCTTACATACGCCGGGCCGGGGCGCGCCGGAGCGGGCCGCGCGCTCCCCAGCCGTGGAGAGGCCCGTACCTGAGGCTGGGTACCCGCCGCCATGGCCGCGACTGCCGCAGCCGCGGCGGCCGCGACCGCCTGCCGTCCAGCGGCGAACGCGGCGGCGTCGACGCCGACGCCCACGGTAGAGCCGGGGCCCGTGCCGGGCGCCGGCGGGTCGGCCGCGGCGCCCAGCGCCACCACCGCCGCGGTGCCGGCCGCGCTCAGCACGCACACGTCGTCGCAGATGCTCGTCGTCTCCTCGTAGCCCAGCACCACGTTGCAGGCGAGCGCGCGCGCGTGCGACCGCACCTCCATGCGCAGCTCCGTCCACCACGCGTCGCGCGACTCGGGCTCCTCCAGGTTGCTGATGCGCTCCAGCAGCTTCACCGAGCGCGAGTTCACTAGCCCGCCTGGCGACCGTGGGAAGCGCAAATTATTGGAAGAAGGAACAAAAAAACAAGCAATTTTTTTACGGTGTATATATTACGAAGCACTTACAGATACAACAAGATGTCATTTTTGAACATAATACCCTTCTTTTCGAAACACGTTTCAAAACGTTGCACCACCTTCATGCTACTCTATCCCAACCGCTATTCCATTCGAAAAAAAGGTTTTCGGTTGTGTCCGCATCTAAGAGTGCACCGTTTCTTAAGTGTGAACTGCTAACCATATTTGGTAGGGTTGATTTGTTCTGAATAGACGTCCAATTTTAACACTTGCTAAAACTCAATGTGTACCAAATTAATTATCTCTTCCTAAGTAAAATTAAAATAGATAAGTAAAATCCTTTACTTATTGCTCTTGTTAAAATATACCAATTTCCTTTAGTTAATATTCAATTCACTGACTTTCCCAGGTCGGTCCACATTTGCCAGAATGTTAGCATCCTACGTACAGCATAACAACTGAACAACGCAAACCATAACCATCCAAAACGCCCATCAAGCTGGCCCACCCACTATAGCAGACTCAAACGTAACAAGTACCAGAATTTCTCAATATTTTATTGCTTATTTATTACCGTAAAACCAATATTTTTACCTCTCTTTTTCACAAAAAATAGTAAAAAACGGATGGGGGGGCTAGTCTGAAATCAAGCTCGGCCGCACACCAAAGCAGAATTTAACCATACTAGTACCAGAACTTTTAACACTTAGTAATACAATAGTTACAAAAACATGTACTAATATGGTTTGGTTCTGTTGTGATGGGCGGCCAGCTTGATGGATCTCAATCCAAAGGCGGTCTCGATCTCGCGCGCTAGACGGGAAGGCGCCGGCGCGGCAGAAGAGTTCCTACTCACCGATGTGCAAGATGAAGCCGGGCGGGTACTTGGTCATAGTGAGGAATGGGTACTCCATCATGTCGAGGCTCTCCTGGTTGAGGGCGGTTCGCGGCGTGGCGAGCGGCGCGCGCAGCTGCAGCCCAGCCGTCGACGAGCGGTCGCTACCCGTCAGGCTGTTCCCTGCGCCGGAAGGGGAGCGGCGCGCGCCATCGCCGTCAGCGCCCGCAGGCCCGGCGCCTTCCGGCCCCGCCCCACCCTCCTCCTCCTCCTCCGCCACTCCCTCACACCCTCCGTTGCAGAGTAAAAACATGCTCAATGGCACGCCCGGCGGCCATCTCCTGGCGCGTCAACTTCTTCGGTCATTAGCCCCGTAAGTGTAGTGCATTTTGCACCCCGAGTGTTGGCGGTGTTCATCGCCAATGTTATACGGTATCGACCTACAAGTAGGCTTGCAGGGTATTTCTTCCTTCAGGTCCACAAGGAGGTACCACCCCAGTTGTGATAAGCTCTAGGTTGTAGACTGTGCGCGTGCGTGTGTCTGTGTGGGAGCGCACGTGTATGTGTAAGGATAGAGAACTAGGCAATAATGAGAAAAATAGGCGCTATTTTTTTCAGGTATTGCTAAGTCATTCACGTTGTATTGGAGAATATGACGTTGCCTCGTCACACAAATAACTTAAAAATGCTCCTTTTAAAACAACTTGCCAAACTGAGAGAAAATGCTCCACTAATCGTTTCTAGTTTCGAGACTGAGGTTTGAACCGACACGCGAGACAAATTTGGATTTTGTTGCAGATGCAACACCTTCAACGCACGTGTATTGCGAATTGCATATCCCTTTCGAATCCACGTTTCTGTACGTTGGCAATGATACAACGCAAACTATATCTTTCCCACTCGAAACTTACATGTGTACGTTCAGTAGCATCGTGTATCCACACCTTATCTGATAGGATTAAATTATTTACTTGTCTTTCGTTTGGCAGTTATTTCAGATACATAAAATATCTTTAGCAACGTGTCAATTCTCTTCAAATCATTTTAGTATTGCTTATTAGCGATAAAGCTGAATCTAAAAGAAACATTATTAGTTGCAACCGACTAGAGCTTCATTTGCAACGGCTTTTTAAATTTCAACTCACGGCCAGTAAAAATATTACGTAAAACAACAAATTCGACGTATGTGAAACAAATTACTGAGTACAAGAAATCTGCAGAACTCGAAATAGTTGTAAATGTGTAAACTGGAAAAATATTTTAAAAAAATGAAATTGCTCTGGATGGATACTTGCGTTATTTAAAACGCGCTGCTGAATAGGATGTGTAAAGTGCACATAAATAGTTTGCGCGAAATGCTGTGTTGGAGTGTTGATCTGCATTATGACAAAGCATGTTTTTACCCCCAAATCACCCTTGTGGGTCCAATCCGTTGACGACCATTGAATCAACAGCGTGTCGCTTCAGACTAGAAGATACTTACGAAGACATGGTTTAGCAAAAATTTGTTTATTATTGTGTAGTATAAAAACGGAAAATCGTAACTTCAATTCACAAGATTGACATAACGAATGTGAAAAATTAAGTATCACAAAAGACGTATTTTAACGAAAGAAGAATTTCCGTGATTGCATTTCCCAGATTCTGTTCAACATTTTACATCCCACTGACTTTGCTTACAAATGGGAAAACTTTGCTTCAACTGCCAGTAAAATTGGAAAAAGGACAACCTAATTGATAATCACGGACTTCACGAAATTTCAATAGCAAAAATGAAGTTAGGTCTTGTTAAAATTTAACATGAAAAAGGATGTTTTCTAAGAGACAGAAAACGGCTATCATTTTCGGCACTACTGCAACACTAATATTTCGCATTGTTTTACAGGGCACATTTCTTGACGTTATTTCACGGGTAACAAAACCTCAATTGGATTGTAAGCTTACGCTTGGCTTCGTTAGATTTCGTTCAACGGAAAGGACCCATTCAGTTGAAAATACATTATATACACCTATAAACATCCAATCGTCAGCCCAGGTCCAAACAACACGTACATGCCTTCTAAATCTACTAAATTAAAAATCAGAGACGTTCACACCTACTCTATTTGCATATCCTTTTGATGGATCAGGGCTGCCGAGACACAAAAATATTATACATATCGCCGCCACACTCAACACGCGTGCACATACACATACTCGCACACTCCCACATACAACATACGTGACTAAAGAGAACACAGAGGTGGGCAAGGCCGGTCGAAATGCTGCTCGCGGGCATTCTGTTTTTGGCAGACGCGACGCGGGCGGGGGCGCGCGCGCTGTGGAAAAACAGAATGGTCGCTGCATTTCGAACACCGCTTGCAGGCCGAATGCACACACGAGAGAGACCGAACTGCACTGCAACCAAAGGAGACTGCTATACACGATTATGATGAACATAAAAAAATTACATCAAGAAACGACCAGTGCGCAGCTAGCTCTAACAGTTAAATAAACACATAGGACATGGGCACCAGTGATGGGGGATCTCATTTACTGGGGTATAACATCAAACAGGTGCGAAAGGAAACAAAAACGAATTAGCTCATTGAGACCGTTCCGAAAAAGTTTCCCGCGTCTGCAGTAAGATGCCGAAACACTTCCAACCTCCAATTCATTTTTTCACCCTTAAAAATTCGTACGTTCGTATAATTTTCTTCACTAATCTTACGTAGAGACATGATGAAATCTCAAAAAGTTTACTTTTAATTTATCTTATTTGAGAAGTTTAATTTGGTTTGAAAATAAGTGAAAACAGCGAGAAATTCCATAATCAAAAGACAGTCCTCAATGTTTTCACACATCTTTAAAAAAATACAGATAAAACGTAACATAAAACGAGTTATAATTCAAGTGGCAATTAAATGAGAAAGTAGTAATCAGCTTTAAAAATAAAATGCTTACTGCACAAGTGACTGATTTTCATTCACTGTAAATCATCATTTGAAAAGCCAAACTAATATTTTTTACAAAAATAAATACAATTTTATAATTCTCGGTAATCTATAGAGCTAGGTCACGGAGGTAAGTGGCAGTGCGTAACACAAAATCTCCCCCATCACCGGCGGATGCTTCCAAGCAGAACGGAGTGGGGGAGGCTGTGCTGTGCTGGGGAACGATCAGGCCAACATGCGGAGCTGGACACAAAAGAGAAAACGGCAACGGCTGTACGGAACGGGACACGGGGCAGGGCTAGCTCTTTATGGACAGAGCACACGTCGCTCTGAAACTATATAGAAACGAAATGCCGAATAGAGAGTGAAAACTTCGCGGGAAAAAATTGTTACACCCCCTCCATTTCAACCCCATTTAATTTTTCTACAACATTCGTACGTTTTACACATTTTTTTATAATGTATACACCTAAGTCTTACAGAAACTTAAACGTCAGAAATCAGAAAATAATGAAATAATTATTAGTTTTTATTAGGTAAACATTAATAGGTTTTGAAAGTCAGGAGAATGCTTGTTAAGCAGTAATTCATACACACTGCGCAAGCTTTGGTTAGATACAATCTTTATTATATTAATAAAAGACATTGCAAGAGCAACATTTTCTCAAAATAATGTAGAAATGTACAAACTTAAGTAACTAGAAATTGAAAACACAATATTTGGCTTTGTAGCATCTGTATTTCGTACAATAGCACTTCTCCACCAAGATTTTAAAAACATAAACGTTTTTAAAAAAGTATTGAAAAGAAAGTCAAGTCCTATAGCCAAATGTGTTTATTCTTGATACCGACAACGTTCCAAAGCAAACGTCAGCACCGAAAAAACTACGAGCGAGCCAGCCCTGGCGAGAAGGAACCAACCCAGAACGGGATGGCACGACGACACGGACGGTTTGGTTAGAGACTGGGGGGGATAAATACACGAGGGAGAGAGAAGGGAGGGAGAGACGGCTGCGTCACCAAGACACAGAGACACGGACTGCGAACCTACTTACGTTTGCGGCCGCAGCCTGCATAGCGCAAGGGCATTTGCTATGTGTTACGCCTGGCTCCGGCCAGAGCCATGCACAGAAACAAAAGAAAGGGGGCGTGAGGCGCCGGCCGGGCGAGGGGCCGGGCGCCGGACGCGCCGCCCCCGGTTGCCGCCGCCTCCTCCGCCTGGCACCAGTGGTTCTCAAACTGCCTTCGGGCGCACGCATTCTCCATCAATGGAGCTAACAAAGCTCAAAAATACAATGAAGTGGAAAAATACAGTTACGGCGAGGGGGATTGCTGAGGCGCCTGTAGGACATTATCACCCCAACTTCAATATCAAACGCTTTTTTTATGTACTGGCATTTCTCCTGAAAGGTGTAACGTAGATCCACTTCGACCACGCCCTCATTACAATAAGAAAAGCAAAATACCGTAATTTTCAGAAAAAAATATTACGTATTATTCACACATAACTTTAAAATATTTTGCATTTTACTTTCGTCACCTGATTACGAATTTTAACAAGCGTTTGTGAAACAATTAAATCAATATATTTTTAAAACAATACATTAGTTTTCCGAAATAAAAACTTTCCAATAATTTATCAAGAAATTATAAATGTTAAAAAAAAAAACTTTATAGTTTGGTGACTCATTCTGAGGATAGAACTGACTTTCAGCCAGGAATACAGAATACAATCATTTGAGAACCGCTGGTCCTATACTCCATAACAGCTTTCCTTGCAGCTTTATTTTCCGAAGTTACACGTCTGGCTGCTTCAATCTTCTGGGCCCGTGTGAATAAAACTCACATTGGCTGCGCAAGGACAAACATATCAGTATTTTACATTCTTTATGGTTTTACGTTCAGAAATGTGATGCGCGCACCCACAGCAGAGAATCTGTGGTCAAAAGCATGTAAGACTTATGTATTGCAATACTACTATCGCACTCGTAACTGCATTCGAAAATTTATTCCCGATACGTGATTTATTCCGGGCATACATCGTACATTTCTCTCTTGAAAATAGGAGATGTGGCAATTTGAGGGATCCTGAGGGAATTTTTATCAGGATGTGAAAACTTACTTTGTAATTAGAAAATATATTGTAATTAATTTACAATAAAAGTAACATTTAACAAATTAGTTTCACCGTCAGCGCCTTAACTGATGATTCGACAGAAGACATACTTAGTTTCCGAGGGATTTTCAGTTTCTTTAATCGCGAATATATTGTGTTTACTGTAATGTAGAAATGCAAGGAAATACAAAGAATAATCGATTGTCAGTTAATATCTGTTTTGAACCAGTAGCAATATATAATGCCACACAAAACTAGTCTCAGAGCTTTTAATTGTCCTCGTGACACTGTCAAGTTACGTGTTTGTCGCTTCACTAGCACTTTGGTACGGTTGCAGTCGTATGCTTAATATACATGATCCGAGCTGCACAGGTAACTGTTATGGAGCTTTAAGTGCGTCTTTCGCACTTCCAACTACAACCACTCTCTCACCCGTGCTGCAGTACGTCGGGGTATCAGCTACTTTATTGCCGGAGGGCCTCTTCGGCTTTGCCAACCTTTTTAATGTTCGTTTCTTTACAACTAACTCATATTTTTGCTCATTTACTGACACATAAAATATGCAGGGCCTGCCGGAAAGTCATACCCGTTGTTTAATTAAAAGACAACTAAATACATTTTTGGAGGATGTTTTATTCTATAACTACAAACATACATATTACATTTCAACGTAAGTCACGATGTGCATTCAAGCATTTATACCGTAGAACCAGTGTTTGTATCCCAGTCTCAGTTGCCTCATATACTTCTACCGCTACCTGTGGAATAAAATAGAGACAACTTTTTCTCTGACACTAAGAAATCTCTTGCCTCCCACAAAGCGAATAGTGTAAAAAGGCGATAATCGGGCAGAGATGAAGGCTGGGTTGTGAAAATGGTCAATTGCTTATTGATTTCATGCCTCGAGGAGTCACCATTATTGCGTACTGTGAAACACTACAGAAATTGCGATTGACAATTCAGAACCGACGGCGAGAACTTATCAACAAGATTTCACAGAGATGGAGATCTCTTAAAAGTTTTCAATACTTTTTTCCACAAACTGGTTGCAGAAATGTATGAACTAGTGTCAGAGGAACACAATAACTCGTTCTACGATAGGACAAATGTTTGAATATGGCATGGAAAAGAAATATGCTTGCATGTGGTTGTAAAATTCAAACATCGTCCACAAGTTCTCATTATTTTTAATTTGCCTTTTAATGTGACAACGGGCACTACTTTCCGGACGGACCTATTAGTTTTCGTGACCAATCGATGATATGAGGTTTTGAAAGTCTGTTTCCATTAAAATTTTCATGGCAAACGTTCGTGGCAATAATCCGAACATATTTGGAGCAATAACAAATTTGAAAATTTGATTATGCAACTCCACATTATATATTACAAATATAAGTAAAGATACCTTACAAAAAGCAAAATGTTTCCTTCTTCATCATTCCGAAATCTTTCCCCAATTCATTTTAATCACTGATCATTGTCCATGTTCAATATTTAATCAAAGAATGCATCATTAATCTAAGGATTTCTTGAGTCTTCCAAGAAAGATATTTTGCAACAACATGAACGTTATATTTATCAACACCATTTATGTAAAAAGTTCGAGAGACTCAAAGAGAAGTTATTTCTGATCTTGTTTTAATATGCCCAATATGTTTTAGAAGAAATACGAAGATTGAAAACACTATAGCCCACAAAAAAATCCACAAACATAAGTAAGCATCAACTGTTACCAGAATTCGTTTCTAGATAATTTGAGACCTGTTCCAAGAGAAACAGTATTAAATGTTTCATTACCGGGTAAAAGTTTTCAGCCAACATGTCTGATTACAAAACAATCATCTTCAAAATACATTTCTTTTCTATTATTACAGATACTGTAAAAATGGCATTCACCATAGCATCTGCATTGTATGACTTACCACTATTTAATAAATATAATAGTTAAAAATTCATTTGAAGCAGAGAAAAATTTAACACATGACTGATTTCACTGTATGATTTATGTATGAAAAAATATAATAGAGTCAATTACAAATGAGAGTATATCAGCAATTGAGCTGCGAATTGCTTGTGCAATCTTACAATGGAATCACTCACATGCACTGACCACCTATCATTTTTAACGACATTCCAATTTTCAAATTCTTTAACGGGAGGGAATACCTACAGGAAAGGTGCTGCTATTCGAGCAGTGATACTATGCCTGACCAAGTCCATGCATTTCAAGTCACGACTGTTCACCTGGTTGTTGAGTGGTAGAAAATCCGAAACCAAGTGGTTTTAGTTCCGCACCATTTAACAACCAGCCATATCCGCGTAACTACCAAATTATATCACTTTTATTTCAGTTTGCAAGATAAGAATGCATAGAAAAGCGAAAATTTCACATACTCTACAATGCATATTAAGAACGATCTTATTTCAAATTTACAAAAGCATGCAATGAAATAAACCTAAAGGTTTAATTGCAACCGTTTCACTACTCGTTAAATGAAATAAAAGGATTTAAGTTTTTCATGCATTATACCCAGAAAGTGACAATTTTCAAACAAATTGCATTGATACCAACCCAAAAACGTTAACAAAGATAAATTTTAGTATCTGCACATGAACAGCGCAGAACCTACTAGATGTACACAAATTAAAGAAATCAAAAAATGTTCGTATATTATAGTGTCATTAATTTGTATGGATGCAACTGAGCCTCAGATAAAAATCATTTCTTTTATTTTTGGATAATAAAACGTATCAACTAAATCTGTATTTAAGATCGAAATTATGGGCTGCTTCTCTGACCGACAATACGTAAAATATACCTCAAATTATCATTCCTCTTCAGCAATACATCGCTTCTTCCGTTCAGAAAGCCGATTAGTCTGCGATCAACATTCGCAACATTGGTGAATTCAAAACTGCAATAGTGCGTTTTCTCGTAACAAGCATCAAACCACTAGTGCTCAGTGAGATACCTTACTACATTCGTGTCGTCACACTGTGCCAAGCCTTCTTGCTGCCTCGGGCACTACTATTTACACTCTTCTCCGGTGAGAGGCGCACGGACTCGCGCATCCTCTGGAGGGCGGCGGCGTTGGCGGCGGCGTTGGCGGGCATGGCGAAGTGGGGCGTGGCAAGGCACTCGGGGTCGCCCGGCAGAGGTGGGGAGGGACGCGGGCACGCGCGCGGCGCTCACCTTTAGGCGTGATGCTGAGGTCCGAGTCGGACGACCGGCGGCATATGGCCGGCAGAGAGCAGAGCTTGGCGGGAGATGGCGACACTTTGGCGGCGGCCACGGCGGCGGCTGCGGCGGCAGCGACCGAGACGGCGGTGGCGGCGGAGGCGGCGGCGGCGGCAGCGCCGGCGGCGACGCCGAGCCGCGCTCGTGCAGGTGATGGTCGTCCGCCACCGCCGCCTGCCTGCTGGGGGGAGCAAGCAGGGGCCATGCTTGAGCGCGTTAGTCGCATGCGGGGGTCCGTGACTGCTGCAGGCTGCGGCGCTCCGGCTCTTGTGCAGGGCGGCCGCGGAGGAGGCGAGAACGCGAAAGCGGTGGCGGCAGCGGAGGCAGCGGGCGGCGGGGAAGCAGCTCGAAGGCGCTGGCGGTTCGGCCGACGGCGGCGGTGGCGAGCGGGCGGGTGCGCGACGCGCAGGGGCGGCGGGTGACGTAGCGGGCGACCGGGGCGAAGACCACGTCGGGCGAGCGGCGGGCGGGGAGAAGGCTGGCGGCGAGGCGACGTCCGCGGGCGCGGAGGCGGGGCCGGGGCCGGGCGGTGGCGGAGGTGGGCGCGGGGCCGAAGGCGGGCGAGGCGAGAGGGTCGTCGCAGGGGACTGCACCGTGACGATGGGCAGCGGCGGAAAGGTGAGGGTGAGCGGTGTGGCGGAGCGGGCGGCGCGGGGGCGTCCGCGGCCTCGGCGGGGGAGGCGCCCCAGACGCGTCCGACGCGAACACCTCGTTGACGCTCTCGCACGAGCGCGGCAGGCGGCGCGTCACGGTGAACGCCGAGAACAGGCGGATGCTGGCGGCGCGCCCGGGGGCGGCGTCAGCCTGGCGTCGGGGTCGTCGGACACGTCGCTGGCCGACGAGTCGGACGAAGAGGACGACACGCCCGAGGAGTGTTTGGACACGAGGTGGCCGTCAACGTAGCGCAGCGGGGGCCGTCCGGGGCGGCGGACGTCGAGGAGACGCGCGGGAGGCGCAGCAGCGCGGGCGCGGGCGCGGCGGCGCGGCGGCGGACGCGCGGCGGTGCAGCGGCGGGACGGCGTGGCGGAGCGCGGCGGCGACGACCCGGGGCTCTCCCGGGCTTCGGCACCGCGCGCAGGGGCCCCGCCGCGCGACCGCCGCCGCCGCTGCCGCCACCGCGGCGACGCCGGTCGAGTCGCTGGCGGAGCGCCCGTGCCGCGCGCGGCGCGTGCCCGGCCCGCGTGCGCGGCGCGCCGCCCCGACGCGGCTGTCGCTACAGCTCCGCGGCGCGGGCCGTCCTCGCCGCCGCTGCCGCGAGCGGGCGCGAATCGCTGGCGGAGCGCGCCCAGGCGCCGGCTGAGGGCGGCGGGGGACGGCGGCAACAGGCGGAGGCGCGGCGCCACACGCGGACGCCACGCGGGCGGGCCCCGCCGCCTCGCACCCCACGCCCACCGCCACGCGTCCTCGCGCGCGCGCTCCCAGCCCCGCGCCCGCTCACGCTCCCGCTCCCTGCCCGCTGGTGCTCCACCAGCCCCGCGGGCCGCTCGCCGCTCAGCGCCGCGTCCATGCGCACCACGATGCGGCGCAGCGCGGCGCCCATGCGCGGCGGCCGCGGGGAGTCCGCCCCGCGGCGGGGGGCGGGGCCGGCCCCCGCCGACGACGACGGCGCCGGGCAGGCCGGGGCGTGGCGAGGGCGGCAGGCGGCGCCCCGGGCCCCGGCCCGGCCCGCCGCCGCACGGCCGTCTCCAGGGTCTCCGCGTCCGCTGGGGGGGCGGGGGGCGGCATGCCGACACTACCGCTACCTCTACGGGGAGGGGAGGGCGGGGGGAGAGAGAAGAGAAAAAAAGAAGAAAACAAAGAGAAGACAGTTTTAGTGAGCGTCCAGCGCCTGGCGAACCAGAGCAAGCCCGTTCAGCCGGCAGAGAATTTTTTTTTTTTGGTGAAGGAGTGCTCGCGAGTACTCGCGGTTGGTCCTTTGGAGGACACCAAACTTCGGCCTTGAGGTTTTGCTTCCTGGATGTGTGCAGCTCAACACTTTCCCCACGAAGCTGACTGTAGTAGTAATTTTCTACACATCACTCACCTTATCTCCCGACAATCACGATATTTTGACGAGCACAAATTAAATCAACTTACTGAACACTTAAACAAACGTAACTGTCCGAAGATGAAATCACGATGCATATCACAGAAAATCCTGCAAGACACTCAGTTCAGATATTCGTGTCCGAAAAAATCACTATCCTCATCAGCTCGTGATTATTTATCGAACTCGTGCGTGTAACTGTTTTCGTTCCAAGTCCGAAACAGATCGCTCAAGTCCCTGGCAAGGCAACGCCAGAGGTGCGTTCCACGGCGCCTCTCGAAAAGCAAACTCGCTTCCGCACGCTTCCCGGCACGGCACGGCGCGTCGGTACCTCGTCCACCTTCACCATCACTGCTCTTCTCCGCGAGCACTCCACTCGCTTGCGAGGCTGACTGGGCCTGGTCCAGAGGGCTCCGCCCCGCCACACTCTCTACTGGCTACTTTCGGCTACACACTACTACGGGCTACAGGCTACCAGCTACACCGACAGGCATGCAACGCGCGAGCGCCGATCGGCGACGGCGGCCGCGACAGCAGCTTTGAGAGAGGGCCACCGGCTGAAACAGAAGAGCGAGGGGCGGCGAGGGGAGCTCGGAGGCGAGGCGAAGCGGCCGCAGGGCCAAACTCAAGGCCTCGGGCGGGCCCTATCCAACTCTGTTGCCTGCATTAGTCACCGACGGCCCAAGATTAAGCTAGAGGTGGGTGTGGCATTCCCATCGGTCGTGTTTAAACACGAATGTTTAAGGACATGTAAGGTCATTGGTGTCCTGGTCAAATTATCTTATGAACATGTAATCACTGTTTTATGTAAAGTTACGCTCCACTATCCCCAAAACTTGTTTTAAAAATGAACTTCTCTAAACCTGGAGGTCTTGAAGGGGTTAATCATACACCATCGTTAGCGGATGCCACTATTTATTGCCTTCAAATTACACGACACATTAGACTCGAAAAATCAAGCAAACAAAACCTAACAACATAATTCAGGAGTCATAATTTGACAATGTATGTTTAATTGTAATATGCGTTTTAAAAGAAATGGCAGTCTGAACATGGAACGTTGTGCAATTGTTTACTATAATTTGGCGTTAACATGACATGATACTAATAAACAACGACATCCACTTACAATTTTGTATTAATATGTCTTCCCCGAAACTTCCTGATCAAGAATAACTCATTATGCACAGAGAGACATTTCATTCGGTACAAAAACACGCAATCTTCTCTTCTTTAAAAGCGGCTCCACAGATTCGTTATTTGACGAGTAGCGAGCAGCCGCTCACCGAATCCCAAGAGGTGTGGATGAGTTGCTTGCTATTTGCCGAGAGACGAACATTCTCTGCTATCGCTCTACCTATTGCAAGTCGGTCTTTTGGACACAATAGAAGAAGAAAATATTCGCCGAACACGTTAGTTGTTCGGGATTGGGCGAGTAGTAGCTCGCTGCTCGGCGAACGACGAATGTGTGGACCCGCGTAAGATGAACAAACGCTTCTTCTGTCATTTTGCTGGAAAATGCTTTGTTACTGCACAACAGTTCGTTCACTGATTAATCTTTTTCTGTAATATTCAGAAGGTCGTTGTAAATGAAGTTAATTACCTCCAGAGTCCACGAGATTCGAGACATGGAAATGCGCACTACGGTGACAGATTACGACAAAATTGGAAAATTACACAAAAGACACAAAAATAACGCTTTCTAACAGAATCTGAGCTTCTGATACCAAGGAGGTAAATGACATATTTATTGCTAATACTATAAGGAAGACGCTGATGTGTATTTATACCGCATGAAATAACTCTCCTGTGTAACCACTGAGGCAGTAAGTCATATTGGATAGCTAAGCCAGCCATGAGGCTGCAAATTCAAAACTCTCTGTGCATCAACGCACGCCCTGTCAGGTATCGGCTATTGACAGTTGCATACAATTGAGCTTGAATGTCACCATTGTGACGTTCAAGCTCTCGATTGGATGAAACCGGGAACAGCTGATACCTGCCAGGGATAAGAAAAAGGTTACGGTTAGAAAAATCCCACTATAGCCACCCTTGTTAATGTGCATCTTTCCGAAGACTAGCGCGCTGGCAGCGATATTCCGACTTCTGACGTTTGATCAACTGACTCGCTGTTATCCTATCGGGAACTTCGTTACGATCTATTTTTGGAAACTGAAGCTCCCCATTGGGTAAATCGCGCCCCAACTAATTACTCGTCGGAAGTCATTCTAAATAAATTGGAGCATAGTAAACATGTCAGCAAGAGCGCAGCTCTCATCTACCCTATTCCGGACTGAACGATGCTATTGTCTTTTAATGAATTTAGACCATTCGCTGAAGCGTGAATTTTAGAGTTGAATAGAGCTGACCACGGGCACCGTGAGAAAGATTTCAGAAATTTCAAAAAGGGCTCAAAATAGTTTGCAATTCAAGTGACAAGATTACAGGCATCAAGCATGCTCTTCCCACGACCCGTCGATGATGGAAGTGGTCGCCAAAAATTGCGTTCAACTTAGTGTCAATAATTTTAGTTTTTTGCCATACTAGACAGAACGACTAATTGAGTAACCATGTGATTTGACTGTGTATAGCATTTAAAGTTTTAGGAAATTGGACTGTACAGCATGACTTTCTCATTTAAAAATCTTTTACAAGTTTGTCACAACTTGGGGGATCAATATTGTGTAGTGTTATCATGTAAATAAGATCACTAATTAGCAATTATGAAGTAAAATCTCCTAAATTAAACAGCAATCTATTAACTTTAACCATTTCCATTCTGTTAATATTTATTGTATATAGTGTAACGTATTAGCCAGCGTGCCTCGTGGCATCTATTTGGGGACGCTTGGCAGAGGATTAGTCGCACAGGAAGAAAGTTTTCCGTACAGGCATGACGCGGAAACGGGAGGCACAAGGTTTTGGCGTCTTCGGTTATAGAAGCTTTTCAACTGTTTATAACAAGCGAGGCGGGTGGCGTGACGTAGTAGGTCACGTGGGCTCGCCTATATAACAGAGTGTAACGGGGAGTAGGGTTCTGGGAGACGGTGGGAGAACCTCGTGCGTGTGCACAAAACTTGGCGCCTAGACGGTGCATATGCGAGCCCAGGCTCGCGAGGCTCGGAATCATTAGTTGACGAAGCCTGCGGACTTTAGGTCCTTGGGCGACTGCGGTCACGGGGGAGCGATGCTGTGTGCGTGCTCCGAGGTGAAGAGTGGTTGAGTGCCACGATTCACGCCGATTCTCAATCGGATAAGATCGCTCTGCGATCGAGGCAAACAGCCGTTGTGGCGCAGAACGGACTTTTGTGTCCAGCGTGACATCGGTCGAAAGCTAGGCTTTGTGCGCGCTTCAAAAGTAGGAGTGGCGTATCCAACAAAACATCTTCATCGGGTTTGGATCGCTCCCGCGATCAGGGGATAGTAGGTCTATCATAGCTAGGGTGTAAGTAGATTATTAAGGTATATATTTGTTTTGTTTTCTTGTTAAATAAATATATTTGTTATATGAAAGCTCTGTGGTCTGTGGTCGCTGTGAGTATCATGACGTCACACATAGTACTAATTGAACTGATTAATTTCATGCCTTCAGAGGAATGGGACCACATCCATCATTATTTATTCTAACTCCCACCTTCCTCACACATTTCATTGAACATAATCTAATATGATTGGGTTCATATTCTGAATACTCTGACTTGCTTATAATTTATTCATTAAAACCAAGTAATTCTTGATTCCTATTTGGTGATACAAACTCTCAAGAATCTGAATACAATTAAAATTGTTTAAATGTACCTATGTTCCTGTTGCACTTTCAATGAGGACTAATATATGTTTTTAATATTTTACCCTGAAATTTTTGAAGAGACACTTTTACGAGTTTAACTTTGTCCATTCAATCTACAAGTAAATAGTGAGCATTTGTTAATTATTTCTAATATCTTCATTAAATAAGAGCCTAAATGTAATCTAGGTGTGTTTCGGTTGAAACATTTTACACGTTAAAGTTGAATAACAGCAAAGCATTACCTATTTTACAGAACTTTCAAACTAATTCGTTTTCTGAATTCCTGCATAGCTTTGAAATCACAATTATTTTCTTCTATATTCAAATTAAGCAGCTCTTATAAAAACTCTGAAAGGGTTTACTTCTTTGCAAAACTTATACAATACAACTAACATACTTTTGCATGCAGTGCGTCTCTCATTTCTATCAAACTTGGAGACTGTCTACATGGGAAATAATTAATGTAATATGTTTGGTGAAACAAAGTATTGGTAAAATACATAATGTTGCAAAAGTGTAATGTGAAACATCAAATCTATAACTATAATACGTGAAAATAGGTGAGGGTGAAAACTAATTTTGTGGAAATTTTAATAATTTTTACCCTAGTGAAAATTCATCAACTTTGTAAGATATATATGTTAGCATCTTTTACATACTATGACCCCCAAATAATCAGAAAGTCCCTATAATCTTTGGGAATTATTGCACATATTGGTTTCTGATGCTACATTCCCTACAATTTGCTTGAAAAAAATCAAAAATTCAAAGACCCAGGCCTGCTTGGGTTACTTAGTAATTCTGATGTTTAGTCTCAAGATTGTGTACATTGTGACATTCTTTATGTATTACCTTTGGGGCCATCCATGAATTACATAACGCAAATTTGGGAATTTTCAAAACTCCCTCTCCCCTGTAACGTATCTGTAACACACATTGAACACCCCTTATCATTATGTAACAACTTGCAAAGCCCCTCCCCCCTTTTAAAAAACCAAGTGAAAATAAATTATAGCTCAGTAAAAAAACTGAATTTATTTTATGTGTGTTCTGTAATAAAACTTATGATAATTAAAGTCAGAATTTGTTGTCGATATCAACTGCACCTAACAATAAGATTGGGGGCAAATTTTGAATCAAGGGAGGATGCACAGGTGAGAAAATTTTGATGTTGAAATCTACTGTGCCAATTTCATTGTATTCTGTAAAATACTACACATTATTTCTGAATATTTTCCTCGTAATCTTACAGATTCAATATAAAGTTGATGAAAAAATATTGTCATTTATTGTAACAACTTCTAATAACTTTAAATTATTTATGTTTTGAAACAAAATAATTAGATAATATTTTCAAAGTTTAGTGAAAGACTCAAAAAAGGAAGTATCTCAACAAGTGCTAAAAAATGTAAATATATATATATATCAATGTTAAATAAATATATATGTATATATATATATCAATGTTACGTAACATTTATCGAATACCCTCCTCTTTAGCATTACGTAATTTATGGATGACCACAGTACAATTAAAAGCTGAAGAGTTGAATTGCTGAAGAGTGTAATTTTGTCAAAAAAAATTTCAAACTATTTTTTGATGTTTTTAATGTCTTGGAATAATGTCTTGGAAATTTAAAATAACAGAGAAAATTGGTTATTTTATGAAACAGATTAAAAATTGAGGGTCTTTAACCAACATATTAAATATCACCATGCACGAATGATGACATCCCACAGAGTTAACAATTTTAATGAAATTCAGATTTCCTGGATTTTTGTACTGAACCTTCCTAAAAGTTGACTAGCTTAACTAAGAACCCCCCGCTTCCATCACCTACTCGTTAACATATTCCAGAATTTTAAGACAAATTTAGCATTTTCCCTAGAAAACTAACATTTGAGTCAAAATTAATAAGGTAGAAAGAAATGTAATGAATGCCAAGTCTCCCTGATTAGCCACTCACTCCAAGAAGAGGATAACAGTTCATTCAAATTACAAGGCATTGGCAGCATATCTGATTAAGTGTCACATGCATAGGAAAACTCACATATATTTAGCACAATATATCCTGCCTCTGTAGACTCTCTGCAAAGTGAGTGTTTAAGATGTTTTGTTTAGAACATTGCAAATTTAATTTATCCAAATCTGTTCATTGTTTTAAATTCAATAAAAACATAGTACAATATGTTGAACTGATTTTTTTTCTTCTCCAATCTAGAAAGTAGATAGATCTAGAAATGTTTAAGGAAATTTACATGAAACATTCGAGATCATTTTGTTATGGCATTACCATTCCAAATATTTTTTTAAAATATTACTTATGGCAAAAATATTGCTGTCAAAAGGTAGTAAGTTCTTTTCTTCAATCTAATACAATCACTGCTGAAAATATACTATTTTTAAATCAACTTTTTTTGGGTTTTGCTTTCTTCATGCAAAATAAATAAAATAAAACCCATTCTACAATATGCACAGCTATTAACTGTTAAAAGTTTTCTAGTGTTAACTATGAGCCTATTCACTTTTTCTAAAGCATAAAAATTCCTAGTGCTTTTATCTATCAATGAGAGACAATTCTCTGACATGATACATCTTTATATCTTTACGATGAAAATATTTAACTACACATTTCTAGTGCTACACTTTGCAGAGGGGCTACACATATCTCCGCATCTGGCACAAGCACAGCTGCTGTCATCTACAGGACAGGAATCAGCCAAACAAGCGAAAGAACAGAGACCATGGTTCAAACTACATTACAGCCAATGAATGTGCTGGATCATGCTTCTGATTAAAAATCCAGATCACATCTCTGACTACGAAACCAAGACATAATTACTGCCATCAATTCTGACCATTTAGACATCCAGAACCAGGGTCTCAAACATACACAGTGAAGAAGGATGAAGATAAATAATTTAAATTAACATGAACCAGAAATGCAAAATGCAAAAACTGAAAAACGAAAATGTAAGTAATAGAAACATGAATGAAGAATGCAAGAAGAGAAAGACAAGAGGACAGACATACAGGAGGAACAGAGCTTCAGCCGGTTCACTGCTATCCTGCAACATGGGCTCCCCACAGCGAAGTGAAGGTGCTTCCCACAATGTAGAACACACCCTACACAATACTATTTCATACAACTGGTACAGATGAGAAGAATATATGTTTAATAGACAAACTGTACCAAAAAAGACATAAAAAAGTCTAGTATGTGAACTTTGACATGTCTGATTATTTCTTCTACTAATGTCTTTGCATACAATATATATCACTCTTTGTAGCATCACACTCAGGGCAAATATAAACTATTTTATCATAGATTCCACTCCTCTGTACCTCTTACTGTAATTTGCTCTGCACAGAGAAACCTTCAGATAAGACACATACCTGAACCGCTGGTAAGGTAATTAGTCAAAAGATATTTCATACAAAATGCTAATAGACTATTATCTTTGGATATAAGGTCTCCCTGTGTTGAGCAGGAAAATAAGTCAGGTTCAACCAGGCACTTACTCCTCTGTCCCATCAAGTTGTGCACTAGATGGCAGGTTGAGTTCTTGCACTTTGGTGAGGGTCACTGCAGTACCGATACCCCGGACAACAATTCCCGACTCTCCTTCTAAGTCAAAGCACTGATTGTATCTATAAACAGGTGAACAGTTCTTTCAACCTCGCACTTTTGCAAATTTTTTTTACAAAAGATACACAGTAATACAGTTTTTAAAACAATAATCTTTCTTAGTGACATCTACTCTGAATATTTTAACAAATAAATTTTGCAACATCTATAGAGAATGTCAGGGAGGACATTTTGAAACTTCAAAAATAAGCTCTTAAGACAATTTTAAGCACATTTTGTCTAATAAACTACATGGATATTCTGAATGGCAGAGCCGCAATAAGCACTCAGAAGTTGGTTTGAAAAACTGATTTCTAGGCTTCTAATACAAAAGCACAGAAACACTTCAAAAACATGTTGATTGTAAATAATAAACAATTTACATGTTTCCAGACATTTTACACGTTTATAAGATGAAATAAGCTTGAAATTGTCTTATGAGCTAATTTTTGAAGCTTCTAGGTTTCCTCCCCTGACACCATGTATAAGCCCATTTCACATACACTGAAAATCACTGAAATCAGTCTTAGACTGCTGAATAGGTGCAAAGTTATTTCAAGAAATAATACAAAGTTTGTCAATCATCAAAGTACAAGCAAACAATAGTATTTGAGATTCAGCACACCGTTCCTGAGATACTCGCCCAATGCCATATGTGTGAAAACTTCTTAATGAGTTTTGACACAGTTCTATTCATACATGCAGCATGGTTTCAGAACATTTGTCATCTTGTGCCCTTCCACAGAGGTAAAGCATTGCAAAGAGCTTCTTGACAGGACATTCAATCAAAATTTACTCTTTTCTTACAGATTAATTAAAATTAACCCAAGTGATTTAAAGAAAAAAAATATGGTAAAGCAGAAAATTTAAAGGATGCAAATTAAAAAGTACAGAAATTTCAAAAGAGGTACTTATAAGGCTCTTAACACTATAACATATGCCTAAAATATACATTTATAGGCACTATAAAACCCACACAAAAGCCATTTCTTATGTGAACAAGTTTAATATAATATTATGTGAATACTTTGTGAACATTATGTGAACAATATATTATTTTTATTAAACATATAAAGTAGGTAAATTAAGCATTGTCCGAGTTATAAGAATGTGTAAATCTTTTCAAAGCCCACTTTCATTTTATTACACCTTGCTGACATATGTTTTAGAATGCTGACAAATTATTTGGAACCCAGAAGCTAAAATCACTTATTGTTGATTCAATTGAAAGATCCCAACATAAATTTCTCCGATACACAGCATAAAAATTTGACACCAAATTTGACCCCCATGACATAAAGAATCATAATTATTCCAATAATATTAATCATCCATACCAATTATGCCAAATTTACAAATTCATTTTTATTTGATGCTTTATAGTTATAAATAATATATCCACATGAGATTTTGAATGCATATTGTTACTACAGAAAATTAGCAAAAACTATACTAGTGAATATGTATCATCAGCTTTGTGAACATGGGAGAGTGCATGAGGGGCTGATGTCCCATGAAACAGAAAATTTACATTCTAGAAAATACTTCACTATCAGAAGCTAACTAGTTATAGAATGTAACAAGATGTTTATTGTAACAAACGATTTATTAAAATTTCCACAAAAAAAAAATTAGTTCTGTAACTACCAATTTTTACAATAAATGTAATATTATTTACAATTCATGAACTATAAACTAAATCTTCCACAAAGATATTTATCAGACTCACCCTATGACCGAATTGCCACCCAGGTCCAATGCCTTTAATCCAATTTTACGTTGCAGTTCCCCAGAAAGTTTGAAGAATAGTGTCTGTCGTGCTTCATTGGATGCACGAGGTGTACGAATTTTATCTATCCACTGGTATTCTGGATCGTCATTCACAACTAATTCTTCCACAAAGCCATGAACAACTTGAACATGGTACCCACTGGGAATAACAGGTGCTGGAATTTTAAAACATTCCAAAGTAATTTTTAAAAGACAGTTCTCACTTATTTTTTAATTACCTTCCGGTTATAATTAACTATACAAAAATATTATGCAGGAAAACTCACAACAAAAAAACTGAACACCACAAGAAGACTGACGAAATTTGTTAAAATCGGAGAATAGTTCAACCTTCACAATAATGTTAACTTCTCCTCTTATTCCGTGCATAGTGTCAAAAACAGGAATCCAGCCTGAGAAAACTGTTCCTGAAACAAAAACTTTATGATAACATTTTACAGAAACACATCACATTAAAAAAATTAAACAATGTATGAAATATGTAAAGTAAAAAGGTAATAAAATGAAAACTTTACAACAGAAGATTTTGAATTCTATTGATCCAAAACCACGGCATGCATTTTGAATAAACAAAATAAATTATTGTAAAAGAAAATTCTACCATATTTCCTATGAAACCTAGGCTTTTCTAATCAATCTACTTTGCAGCTACTATCATCAAATCACTACTAAAAAGTATTGTATGTACTGATATAAATATTTTTTAATACAAAACTAATATTGAAGTGTTATTTAAAAATATATTTAAATTTTAATATGAAAATGTCCTTGATATAGCACTCTTAATTAAACAATTTTCTAGATTAATGATGAAACAGTTAGTATTGATGACATAGTGGTAAGTGTGACAATTTTCTAATTTATTCACAACTTTTCTTTAAATGTGAAACCATCTCATTTTAGCACTAATATTTCATAAAAAGTTATTTTACAAGTAGACAATTTAAAACAGGAATTCATCTTGTTATGTACCAACATGTTACAGTTAATGTTACAATTTGGCAAATTTACAAATCAGCCAGTTGCTGTCTGCATTATTCCAAATGTGTAAATAAGACAAAATAGGAAGAGCTTCAAAACTTACTTAGCCAGATGAAGTACCAACATGCTAATGTAGGATATTTTCTAAACGATCTAGCCAAAGATAATGCATTGCAAATTTGAAACTGATCTTTTGCTTCATAAAACTTCACAAGTAGGACCATTTCCCTTTTTTTCTTTTTTAACTTGTTTTTCTTTCAGTTTTTTAAAACATTTTTTGTTTGAATACAGGGTGGTTGGCTTATAAATTTCTGAATTCTGATTTTTATTACAACTTCCTGAATTTTCATAAATTGTGAAATATAAACAATTTTTTTCAAATTGGTCCTCAACCTTCATTTATTAAAGCTTAACATTTTGCCCCTACACAATAAAAGAATATCAATGAAATCCAATCAATGTAACATAAATGTCATGAATGAAACTTTAATGAGATCTGGCACAGTTTTTCAAGGTAGTGATTTTGATTAGTTTTGAATTAACTCTTATCAATTTTCCAAAAATATTTAAACAAGATTTTCCAAAAAAGGGCTTCAATTGTTTTCTTTAATCTTTTGGTACCAATAAAACATAACACATTAAATCACAAGACATAAGTACCAGTTTTATTATTTACTTTTGAGTTAGACATTGAATCTAAACATTTTATTTTTGTTCCAAAACATTACATACATGTAATTTTTGGGAACATCTCCTATGTCATTAATATTTAAAGTAGTTAAATAGTTTGTAACAGGGCTCAGGCCTGGGAACACTATTCAGCTGGCAAAATTTGTATTAATCCAACCCTAAATTGCCAAATAAATACAAAGGCACTTTTTTGTGGGAACAAATGCATCAAACAATTTCTCATGAAGAATCTCAAAAGTCTTCCAAGTGTAAATATTAACTTCTATCCTCGAATACATAAATTAACACAACTCCATGAATTCTCAGATGCTGTGGTTGCGATGTAGTGCTTATCACTAGGAACTGTTGGGTAGCAGGAGAAGCACTTTTTGGCTTTCAACTTCATGTCAAGGAGAGAACAATACATTATTTTACAAGGAGACATTTAATTTTCATTAAAACTTACATTTTAAGTAGTTGTACCTCAACAACACATACTAGCATTAATTTGCATGATTACTTAAAAAATAATTGAAATGAAAGATCTACTTTAGAAGAATAAATTTTATAAGGGAAAAAATATCAATATATTGGATGGAGGAAGTAGACAAAAAAAATTTTAAGCTTTTGTAATTTTCTTAAAATTTAATGAGTTTGCAAATCGGAACTGAGCCAATTTAAAAGTGCACTTCGCTACGAGAAGAAAAATATAGAAAACTTTGGAGTCACTTCAAACATTGATGAGGCTTCACATTAAATACCCCTGAAAAATCAAAATATCCCTTTCATATTCACAGGACCTTGAGTTCAGACAAATTGATCAGGAATACCAATTTTTGAAAACATATAATGGTTTAGGCACTAGAGTGGTCCGATCACAGACAATCAGGCATTTTGTCTTAAACCAATTTCTAGGAATCAAGGTCCCACAAAACGTGGATTCTGGGAAACTGATGTATCCGAGGAAGTTATTTACTACTTGTAGGGGCAGTGTATTCAGCTTTCCGAAATCAGAAATCAACTACACAAGTTTTTCTGTCAAAAATCCGCCGCTTTTCGCTGCAGCATTACAATATTTCATCTTCATTACATAAGTATGTAGTATGCCAGAACGGAAAGACGTCAAGACACATATTTCCTTTAATTGTAGGTGTTTTGTTTGGGGAAGAAAGTTTTCACAAGTGATTGCTGGTGTTAGAATGATACAAGTTGCAATACGTAAATGTTACAAATAATATGATAAAGTGAGAGACGGCTCCTTGAGTAAATCCCATATTGTCTCTCGATCTGCAACATTGCCTTCGTTGCTGTGAACACTTATTTTGTTAAATCATAGGGTTCGTGGTTTCCCGCACCAGTAGGGTGGGCGCTAGCGTCGCGCTTTCCCGCTTCCTATGTATGAGAGGAACAGTCGAAGGGGCATAGTGCCTTCCCCTACCCACCACCCGGCAATGGAAGCAGGGACGAGCAATATAAGAAGATGATCACTCGACGACGACTATTGCGCAAGTGGTATACATGTGCGCCATTACCCACTACGGAGAAACTGCACTGCCGCCAGCTATTAAAATTGAATTGAATCCATGTCTTATGTGTGGCGAGACTCAAGCCATGAGGCCTGCTCTTCCATCTGACCATACAAATTTCACTAAGCTTCTTTCACCCACTAGCGGAGAAAAGGGGTATTTCTTGGGCGACGAAATACGCGATTTAAATTTAGCTCAGAGGCTTCATTTCCACTTGCGGATATTTTACATGCAGTAAATCTACTAACAAGGACAACCGGCTTAACTAACCCTCCGAAAGAAGGCGTACGAAGGATTTTTCGCCCTTAAAATCCACGGCTTCGATCGGGTTTGAACTCACGAACTAGGGTAAACAGCCCTGTACGCTAACCATTACACCATCGCCGACGCTATTTCGCCTCCTAGGGCCGTCTCCGGCCGCCGAACGTTCTAGCTAGCAGAGGCCTTTCTACGGGCCATCTCGAGCAGCGCGACTCAGTAGCTACATCCACCAGGGCCATCCCTGGCCACGGATCCTTCTCGCCAGCGGAGGCCGTTCTTACGGACTACCGGCTCACCTCGAGCAGCCGACAGCCTCGTCGCAGCTATGACTGCCAGGGCCGTCTCCGAGCACAACTAGAACGACCGACCACGGAAGATTTACGAGCCAGGCAAATAATTTTTATTTCTGTCTCCCTCTACATTGTTTCTCGTTTATTTATGCAAGTTTATAAATGAAGTGTGGTGTCTGTCTCTGTGGAACTAAGTATTGATTTCTTACAACAGTAGGGTTATTACTTTCCAAAGCACAATGAATGGACCCAGACGCACGTGGCATCAAGTTGGACGTTTAGTGTTGGTTTAGACCAACAGTTCGCGCCCTTTTTTCATCTGCTATTGCTGTATTTCATACAGCTATTGTGGTTCCGTTAGCGAAGTAAATGTTTTATGGTATCGGCGATCCTCCCACACTAAAAGGTGAAACCCACGCGTCGGTTTACGGTGAATTTCCCCCTGCCGCAACCAAACCAATGCCCCGACATGTAAATGTGTGAGCTAGGAGAGACGATAAGACAAAGGATGGAAAGATTGCATGCGATTCGTGGCCAGTTCTTTATGGGACTGCTCCGGCATTCGTCTGGTATTCATTGGAGAAACAACGGAAAACTACCGTCCAGAGAAATCGTCTGCCAGAATTCTCCTACGAACGGAAGCTAAATACGACCTAGCTATTTAGCTAGTATTAAAATTAGTATTAAATACTAATTGTACTATTTAGCTAGTATTAAAATTTAACCGCAGTCGGAACTCGAACCATGAACCTCTCGGCCAAAGTCGCTGGAGAGTCAGCGCCAATGCTGGCTCTGAGCTAAACTCATCCGCTAAAGTAAACTGGTGATCATAACAATGATTAAAGCTTAATAGTACTTCAACATTTAAGTTAATTGGTGCTAGGGTAAAGTTATCTTCACAACGCGTATGCACGGAGGTCGGACAATCAAAGCTCCATTATGGGTCGAAGAAATCTTCAAGGAAAAAGAGGACTTTCAGTGGGGTTCACAGGGTTGGGGAGTTAAAAAGAAAGTTGTACTACACTCCAAAAGAGTGTAGAAACGTATTTCCGGGAGGAGGGGAAGCACTGGTCTGAGTATATATGCTCTCCGGCGACATGGGCTGAGGACTGCTTGATGCAATGTAGTATCAACGGTTAATCCTTTCACGCCTAAGCCAATCAAAATAACTCGCCTGCGGCTAATAGAAGGTTCTCCAGTCCATCCTAGGGGGCAATCGATGTGGATGGTGCGGTAGGCGCCCGTGCTGGAAGTGTACCGTGGATAGTAATATATAAATAATCGTGGATAGTAATCAATGACCGGAGTGTCGACGGAGACACGGCCCCCACACCATTTCCGTCATCCCAAATAGGACGGATGGAGATCCTATAGAACCGCAGGAGATATTCGCGATCCACTCCCCATGACCGCATCAAGGTAGTGAAGCAGGGGCGATGGTGACACATATCGGCTTTTGAGTTTACGACCTTCTTTTCGCCATTTTAAGTTATTGTTGAATGTAAGACCAAGATAAGTTGTAGATTGGACAAAACGAAGTTTATGAATCCAAAGAAAATTATCTGGATGGTTATGGAAGTGGTGAATCCTGCAGAAATACATGCAGTTGGATTTTGAAGTGGAGAACTTGAATCCTGATTTTTTGCTACACTCTTGCCATTTGTCTACGACAGTTGCAGTAGCTTTTCAATAACGTTTATGCTCTTCGAAGAGCACAAATTGGCGCTGTCAATAAACGAAAAGCAATGTATTAACTTGGTCTCATGTAACTGATGCTATACCGTTAATGGCAATGGCATACATAGTGACACTCAGAATTGATCCTTGGGAAGGGGGGGGGGGCTTTTCCAACTTATAGCCGAAACATGTTTCACCAAGGAGAACACGGAAAGACCTTGATAGAAAATTGACCAAAAACAATGGGAATAGTCCCAGTATTTCATCAGTCACGCGGTGACAACCGGTGAGTGTGCGAATCTCGATACCACTTTCGATCATTGACTCCAGTCGCGTCCATCGTCTGCCTCCCTCCAACAAGTACTGGATTAACGCACGTGACACATCGATTCGCACACTCGCAGGTCGTTCCGTGCGTTGCTGATCACAGGTTGCTATGCGTCATCTCTGAAACACTCCTGATCATCACGTGACTGTCCGGCATGGACGGGCGATATTCCTAACAGTTTCCAGTGACATTCTAGCACATTTCTTCCACAGAGGACGGCCGTCTTGATGTAGGAGCGTTGCTCGTCATCTCGCGCGACAACTGTTTTCACAGTTAATAGAGACACTCAAAGAACGATCTGTTGATGTGAACACACATTAGTACTGCATTCCTTTCGCACCACAAATAAAATTACGTGATCCGATATTTCTTTTAGAAAAAAGCAACCATGACTTCTTCCCCAAACCTCGTATTTTAAGGGGGATGTCAAGAAAGTGAAAAAAATATAGACTCTCTTGGATGTGGCATACAACCAAGGTAGCTATTGCTTGTGTTTTTGTTGTTGTTTTTTTAATACAATTGATTAAATTTTTGCTGGTGGGAAACTTACAGTGACTTCCCAGGGCCCGCTTCCGATCACGCACCGTGGTAGGTCAGGCAGCATTACACCAAAACACAAGGGGATGACGTGGTCGTATCAAATGCCATCGGTAAAAATGAGCCACCAAGGCATCGATATCGTTCGAACCATATTCGAATATTCTCGAATTCGACCATATTCGAATATTCCCATTAAGCTCGATGGACTAATCCGCGAGATGAGCGGTCAATGTTTGGATCAGAAGAATCGAAGTTAAACATAGTTGGGAAACAGTCACTTCCATGCAAATCATCCAAAACGGTCCACTTCGTGATGGCAAAAAATAAACGGTCTGCAGAAAGCCAGGTTGATGGATGAGGCCAGGTAAAAATAAGTGGTATTGCCAGAATTCTGAAGAACTGAATGCTGTTGATCAATAATATTTTCAAGAATATTATCTCTTGGGCAGGACCACATGCAACCCGAGAAGGGATTCTGGGCTTCCAAGTTCCCAACAATCAGAAAAGGTGGGGGCACCTGGACGATTTTGACATCTGTTGTCCAGACATCTGGGGAGATCTGACATACAGCGTCACATACAGAGGTTGACATTTTCTCTAGATTCGTTTGATAATTAGAGGTAAATTGTTGTTGACTCAGGATAGTAGTAAAACTCCTGGATAGGGTCCCAGCGAGGAGTATTCTGAAGCTTAACGAAAAAAGAGAAGACATTGAAGAGGTACAACAGCAAAATCTCATGCAGATGTGGAATATTTTGACACAAACACTGCACATTCACAGGGCCCTCAAGTCCACAGTAAGGTGCATTTGCAAAAGACACATGGTAATCTTAAAGAACCCACTTCATACGATTCATTGGAATTTGATGGATCAATACAGAGTTTTGATGCTGCGTAAAAAGAAATTAAACCTCTGAAGATATCATTAGATGAACCAGCTTCAAGTGCTATGAGTTCTAGTACTGTCAGCTCATTCACCAAGTTACAGAATTATCATGCGAGATTAAGACAGGGGTATAGATGCGAGTACTTTTATTTCCAGGAACAGCTTTTATGTTTTTGAAGTTAATATCATAATTCTACTTGAGTTCCGTTTTGAATATGCATAACAAAGGTCAATTCTCAACCACCAATCACCCTGTAATGTTTTTCTTGTATGGAATACATCTTTCATTAAACCATGTGCATTGTGTATTTATAAAATTTTTTACAAGTATCATGATAAATTAATTTTTAAAGTTTACAATACAATGTCTTATTATCTCTCTACATTACTTATTTACATCTCACTTAGGTACTACTTATTTAATCTTACACATTTTGTGTTTCATTTGTGATACTAAAAAATTAGATTTTGCTGCAATAATTAATTTTAATAAGTGTTTATTATATGGTAAGAATGTTGCATAACTTTATTTCCTTTTCAATTTGACCATGAAACTGGGCCTCTGCTGTGTGCTTCACAGTACAACAATTTTTTCCTGCTATGACAACATCATAACATGATCACTGATTGTGAACATTTTATTCAAAATTTATGAAGCAAGGTAGGAAATGAATGAAATTGCCAATCCTTTTCATACTTCAATAATTTGTACATGCAGCTGTTTTTTGTGTGGCAGAACTTTTATTGACATCACTGTTACATTCCCTGATGTTTCCTGAGCAATGAAATACCCTTATTTTCCCTGGTTTGCAAGAAAGTGAACAGAACTAATTTATCTGATGCAATACAAATAATATTAAAATAGGTTCTGACAACCTATAAAGCTATTATAAATATTATACTATTTAACAGTTATTTATTAAATTGTCATGTGTAATAAAAAAATACATAATTAAATAACAATCATTTATTTCATTTATTCACAAACTCAGCATAATAAACTGTAATCTTTTATAACCCCAATTCTTAAAATCCTGAGCAAGCAACCATTTGTAGAGAAGAGAGGGCTCACACGATTTTCGCTGGTGTTCACACTACAGCCTACGCAGTCTATCGCAAATTGTTTCGCCATATGTTCAAATGCATTACAGGACTTATCATAATTTCAGCTCACAAAACCACATTGGCCACTCTGGGCCAAAGGAAGCAGTAGCTCACCTGCAGGAGCTGACCCAGAACTGGGTGGATCTGTGCCACCTGCGATTTTCCCAACAGTGGGAGGTGGAGGCAAGAGCAGTGGGTTCAAATCGAGGTATACTTTTCCAATTGAATCATTTGCCGAGTAAGTGTCATAGTCCATGAGTCTAATCTGGAGTGGTTCATCTTGAAGTTCAGCATCATCCACCTATATGGCACACAATGCATTAATATCGGAGTATTCAAGTACACAATTACTAAATCATCTTTTATACATTTGTGTTTTTTAGATATACCTTACAAAGATATAACATGTTTAATTTATAATAAATCAGCCAATTTCAAGCAGAATTTAATTTGTTTTGGTATCTTTTCATGATTATATTTTCTGAATAACTGATTTGTCTACAATTCATTTCAAAGGGAAGATTAATGACAAAATTACTCCTTTCACCCACAAGTAAAAATTTTGTTTTCCTCAGACAAGATTAAGGAAAAAAGAAATGGAATAATTACGAAAATATCTTGTTTTTATAAAACTCCCCCTCTCCCTTCCCTGTCAATATCAAATTGCAATCACTAGACAAAAAATGTATTGTATTATCACTGATAGAATGAAAACAATTTCACCTGACAGTAATTAAATTTCTTTCCTAATATACGAATACTGAAAATTAAAAAATCTTAATTTTCATGCAAAAGAAACTGAATTACACAAAACAAAAAATTCACAAAAAGTATTGGAATATCTGTTCTATCAATTTTCATAAAATTGCTCCACACCAATTAACTTAACAACACATTTCTTTATTTTCATTTAGCTATTGAAAGATACCTTCCACAGAAACAAAATCTTAATCAAATAATTGATAATATTATACCTAATATTATATTTTTCTTACCTCAAAACGATACCATTCTGAATCCCAAACTGGATTGAGTGACTTTCGAAAGACATCTGTTTTGTAAGTGGTATTACCCATTTTTATTTCCACATAAGCATCAGTTGTATCACTGGATCTGTCCATTACAGGCAAATTGCGCCCAGCTAATATTTTTACCTTCACTTTGCCTGGCATGGTTACTGCACTATGTTATCTGCAAAAACACACCACAAGAAAGGCAGATTACTTCCCACGGACTAGTTTTAATGAACAGTTAGGCAAAATAAAAGTATATAGAAAGCATAATTTACATCTTTTCAAAATTAACAAATGTAAAAGCTAGGTAACTAAACACTTCATAAAAAATATAAAAACAGTAACTTTCATTTCAGCCAATGCCAATTAAAAATTTAGTCTAATACACAACTTAACAGGAATTAAACAAAAAAAAAGTGCTCAGTTGTAGGATTTTTAATTGAAAGGAATCTAACATTACTTAATATGATAAATATATTTAAAATTAACTACACATTGAAACTAGATGTTTAAAGGTACAACATCATTAGACAAGCCACTCTGAAATACAATAAACAACATTGCACTAAGTAATAATGAATTTCTCTGACCCTTATCAAATATCATGCATTGGTAATTCAAATACTTACCTTTCTGTTGTAAAAGAGGAAGAGTTTTTACTTTTAAAACTAGGTCATAAATTCAAGACTTAATATGATAAGACATGGGCGAAAAGATTGGCATTTACTCCAAATGGCACTTGCTCCAAATCACTTCAAATAAGATCAATACATAAACGCAAAATGGCAGACCTGAGCATTAGTTCACTCCTTCACAAACCGTTAACACGAAAACATTAAACAAATTATTCTTTTATGGAAAATTGACACCGAGAAAAACGCCGCACGCCCCCCTAACCTGCTACGAACGTCGAAAACGTCGCGCTGCAGCATAACACAATCAGCTGCTAGCATCCCCCTCCCACACCCATCTATCTCGTCAGTTCACGCGCTCTAGCGGCAGAATGCGGAATTTCGCTGTACCGCAGTTTCATGAACCGCGGTGTTTTATGAATAGAGGACGATTCATACAACTTCTCATATTTTTATCTTACGGTTATGTGAGGTTTTTAAGTGTTTTAAATATTATTCTTAGAATTTTAATGAAAATTAAGTGATTTCATCATGCATTTATTTCCAAGCAAAATTCGGCATTTTCATGTATGAGTATGTCAAAAGTACAAAATACCAGTGGCGTACCATGCACTGCATATCATATGTATTCACAAATATTTCCCCCTAATTTACTATAGTAAAGAAAGTCACTCAGGATTGAATACTTGTAAATTACTATAAATATAAATTCAAATATATGTAAATATAAATATAAACATTTTAAATTGAATATGACATAATCATGTTTTATAAGAAATCAAGACTCCTGGACACTATACCTGTAGTCCACCTGGTAACACATCTTCAATACACAATTACAACTTTGACACTTTGTATTGAAAAAAATCATTGTACAATTGAATCGATTATTTTTAAAACCCTGTAAGTCACTCGCTTTCGCATTTTCACTTTTTGTTAGTAAACAAAAGCTGCTGAATAGATGAATCATGTGTAAATCTCGTGAATCAGAAGAATAGAATAGCTATGAGGACACTGTAAGGTTTGGGTTTGATTTTGAAACTCTGTTAGTCATTGATTTGCAGGGTATGTATGACTGTATGTATGTAAGTATATATACACTGTGTATGACTGGGATATCACAGGCAGATTGGTTAAAATGGATGATCAATAGAGAAATATTCCTATGTACTATCACCGAAACACATATTTCAAATAATTGTTTCTGTCATATGAATTATGTTTCATGTAGATGCACATTGTCATTTCACAGAATGTAATAAATGTGTCAAATTACAACTGAACCTGCCATGTGTATTTATTTACATGTTTAGGTAAAAAAATCCTGTTTGGTTTTTGAATTTCCATAAGTTCTAACTTTTAAATAAGTCCAGCGACTATTGTTCTATTGATACAAGTAAATTACATGTCTCTGGCATTCTCAATCAAGATTTATGCATCAGAAATAAAAAAGAAAATAAAACAGAAAAGTTCTCTATGTATAATTATTCAGTTTTTTCATCTTTTCCCTCAACTTTACAATAATTTTAAGTAATTATAAATATTTTAAAAATAATGAATTCAATTAGGACAAACTGTTTTAGTGAAATATAAGTCAGGATATATTTCAAGAATCTACGTTTTCTTAAAAATAGTTATGAAGACTTTCAAGTAGCAAAAACGTTTTTTTCAGATCATTTCACAGAAGTACAAATGCCTGTGCAATTGAGCTGAACATTTTTCTTTGAATTGTTATTATCTCATTTCTCTCTATCTTTCTACCTTCCACATCTACAGTGACTACTCACGCTTGTCAATAAAGTGTAATCTGTAAAGTTTAAAAAGTATTCCATGGCCATTAAGTAATATTTGAAAATTATTTTTCTCACTTTTTAAATAAATTTATTGCTTATATCGAATAATGCATGAAAGTTTCATAGTTTGGTGGTCTTAGAAAACCACCCCCTGTCATCCTCATGGAGGATGGATCTTTTGGCAGATGATATTTCCTTATATTCTGCCTCAAACTTAGGCACCATCTTTAAATTCCGTAACACAAATTTGGAGTATTTTAAATACCCCCTCTCCCCCTTGTAACGCACCCGTAATGCGCGATTGAACTCCCCTAAATAATTATGTGACACATATGACAACATCCCTCTCCTAGTAAATACAAGAGGTGAAAAAAAATATAGTACAGTAAAAACAATTTGTATTCATTTTATTTGGGTTGTATATTAAAATTTATGATAATTAAAGTCGGAATTAGTTGGTGATGCTGACTGCACCTAACAATAAGATTGGTGGCAAGTTGTAAGTGCGGGAAGGGTGCAGAGGTGAAAAAAAAACAACAAAAAGACATTGTCATACGCCGTGCACACGCCGCCGCGCCGTCGTGGATGACGCATGGGCAAGAGTCTACTGCTCCAATTTAAATTGATTTTATAATAAACTACATGTCAGTTTTGAATATTTTCTTCTTTATTGAACCTTACAGATACAATAAAAGATTGATGAAAAAATATTTTCATTTATTGTAACAATTTACATCTAAAACATGTAGTTTATTTTTTAAACAAATTACTTAGTTAATATTTTAATGTTTTAGTATAATACTCAAGAAGGAATAATTTCATAAAATCTTGAAAACTTAAAAAAAATATCAATGTTACGTGACACTAAAGTAGTACCCCTACCCCTACGTAACGCAGCGTAAACCCACAAACCACAGAAACCCCCTCCCTCTTCTTTGGCGTTACGTAATTTATAGACAGCCCTTTAGTTCACGAACCAAATTATTTAATTTGTGTTGGTCGAATGGAACTTGCATCTCTCTGAAACTCAGGCTGATATTCATATTTTTCTCGTGCAGAAATGCATCCAAGGGAGCCATATCCTGCCGCCCAAGCCAACATTTGTTACATTTCTTATTCAATTGATTAAAACCAATTTAAAATCTTCACCTCCCAAGGTGAGGATATATTTTTATTTCAAGCCTAATAATAAAAGATATTTATTTGAATACCAAACTGAAAATACCCTCCCACCTGAAAATTTTCTGTATCGGCTCCTACTGGTGTTTCAATAGCAGAATTGTTATCTGTAAGAAATCTCTTAGTGAATGATGAAGTGAATACTAGAATATCATTTCATGAGAAAATACCGGTATTTCAGTACAATTATACCGGTCTTTTTCATGAAATCATTGTGATTTTACCACCCAGATGGCCCAGACGAACAACTATTGACACTGCAGAGTTTCTGACCGGGAGGTCCTCGGGTTCAAGTCTTGACGGTGGCGGTTTTTCGACACAAGCCATATTTTAGCTAGGTCGAATTCTGCCGGTGGCTGGAAAGGAATTCTAGTGATTGGTTTTTCTGAGTGCTAGTTTTCCATTGTTTCTCCGATCACAACCAGGCGATGTCGCAGAAGTACTTCAACAAACAGATCACTGATCGCACATTATCTTTTTTTTTCTCATCCTGTCACTTCAAATACACACTCTCTTTCAGGCACTACACTACTAGACATCTCGGGAGACCTGACGGAGCCTACAGTTTATTCGATTGATCGGATATATTTGGAAGGGGACCAGCCTCTGAAGCGCCTATATATAGGATTGCCGCTAAGCTACGTCATCGATGCGTATTTCAGGTACTAGCTGGAGAGGAACAACCGACTTCCTGCCGGATTTATTGACTGATTGATTATTGTGTTTCCGAAAGTTTCCCACGTTAACTGACAATGAATCAAATTGTTTATTGTGGGATTGTTTATGAAATATGAACCTAATTTTTTGTGTTTCAAACTCCCCATATTGGACAGAATTAGTAAGTGTTTGTTAAATGACTTCGAAAGGATGATTGGCAGCCTCTTACAAGACTGGAAAGTTAAATTTGGTCTCAGAAAGGTTTTTTAATGTGAATACTTAAACCGTTAACTGTAATGCAGTATTTCATTTTACTGATTAATAGAATCATCACTTAATATTGCAAAAAACAATCTAGCAAGATCTGGAATCTATTAGCTCTAAGAATTGTAAGAGTTTCAAGAAGATTCAAGACATGAGCAGAATGAATTACGAACGTAAACGACGAACCAATAGAATGACAGTTCTAATTCTTTCTACTCAGGTTAAGGATTACACTAAGTGTGAGAAGCAATACAATGGAATGTGTTCTATATGTTAAGCATAGTAATCCAAATGTGTCTCATAGGTTTTTTCTAAACTGAAGAAGATTCAATGGTAACAGGCTTTTATCTGTGAACTTATTTTTGGCGTTCAATGAACATTAGCTCTGTAACATTGAAAAGTAAAACTGTCGTTTAATGTTCCAATTATCTTCAAAAGTGTGTATCCTAAAAATTTCTGTGCGGTGTTTGAATTCACTTGAATTAGTTCAATGTAGAAATTCTTTCGTAGATGTAATACTCACCTTCAGTGGTGCCACCAGGATTTTCCTCAGGAGGGGGGGGAAGTGTTCAAACAGGTAATCGCCCAGATGTTATTAACAGGGAAGCACTACTATTTATAGTTTCCTTATCAGTAGGCTACGTTGTATTAAAAAAAAGTATATTAACATGAAAATTTGAAAATAAAAATTTCAATTGTCTTGCACAAAAACTACTATTTGAGCACTTTTCACACTTTTGTCCTAGACGTTTTTTACAACAATGTGTATTACATTGCACAACACCAAGTGAATTAAACACATTTCGTGTAAAGAAGGAGGGGAAGTCAAAGTAACCCCGGTCACAGTAAAATGGGCTCAACTTTAATTATTAGCGCGCTCCTCGGCCAATCAAAGAAGCTTTCATTCACCTCTAAATGCACAGCTCTCGCAGCAGCTTCGTTTAGCGGATATTTTTTTGTACACGAAATGCAAGAAAGGAGTTTTATTTAAAAATTTTTGTTACTATTAAAATTAAAAAAGTCTTTACTATTGAAAATTAGTTTAGAACGAAAGAAAAGAAAGTTTCATAATACCAGTATATCACAAATTAGTAAAGCCAATATATTGAAGTTTGGGTCAAACTAGAGAATGCACAGATTCAAACACAGACATCTGATAACGTTGTTTTCATTAAATAGTGTGGCGAAAATTAATGAACCCATCCGAACATAATCTTATACGCACACATTACTTATTATACCATTAATCCTTCATGTTCTTAGTCCAGGTTATTCATATTGTTCAATCAGAATGACATGACTAATCCATCCGGCCGCAGGACAACGCGGCAAATAGAAGAAACACGTTACTTTCGCCAAGCTGCCCCAGCACCATCACACTGCTCACACCCACCCCGCTTGCGCGCGACGTGTTGCTCCCCTTCTGTCATACCCTTTACTTTTGTCAATTCACAAGCCGTCGA